AATTGCAAGTAACATTAGAATGATGCTATGAGGAATTGAATAACTTTCGACCCATGAGATGTGGGTTGTAGAAGTTACGTTACAGTCCATCATCGAAGATCTTTTTAATAAGAATTGCAAAAAGAATTTCCAAATAGCAATTACATGAGATTTAGGACACGAGCATATAGAAGATTAAAAATTGGAGATCCATTCTGGTAACCGAAATGATCAACAGGGGTGGTTAAAACTTGGGTATTCATACATTGCAGGGCGTCCACACAGGGCTTCCTTTGCCATGGATAAGGAAGCAAGGACCACGAAAGTTATCAAAATAAATTCTAAGGAAACTGGACGAAACTAATTTCAACTGAAGACTTTCCAATAGAAAATAACATGTATGCACCAATTTATTGGGCATTGTGATTGTCAAATCCTGCTTCCTCCAATTCATGTTTTTTCCTTAACTCTGAATGGACAACGACAGTACAATCAGATAGTCTCCAAAATTTATTGCATTTTCAAGTTTATTGATTAGACATAAAAACCACCAAGCCCCCTTCCTCTGCCCCTTTCTAGGGGAACATCGAAATTCGCGTTACTCTGATTAGTGAAAAAAGATTGTAACTCAATCAGATAAAAAATACCTTCAAAGGGATCAGCAAAATAACATTTGCCAAACACACGAGTCAAGTGCGGTTAGCGTTACCACCAAATAGCTATACATTAAAAGAAATGAAAAGGACTACCAATCCAGGAAACTAAACAAAATTAAGAGATACTTTAATAGAAAGAGATGTCGAAAGCGCTTGGTACAGTCGTGCTCGACTAAAGTTGGCTTTGGTTCATTTGGAATGATATTGGTTAGTAAAGGGAAGTTGAAATACGACACCCACTAACAGCTACCAGAAAACCTCCAGACTCTTTGAAAGCACTTTTAATCCTGGATTTTTTAAATTAAGTTAACTAGGCAAACACGAGTTATGGTAGAACGTGAAGAATGGAGTGTCACCAGAATCAAAATTTTCAAGTCAATTAAAGTAAACAGGTTTCCAACTGTCATACCATACTTTGCAAAGCACCAAATTTGTCGTCCAACTGTTGATAACCACTTCACGAATAAGCACTAGAAGTGCATCAAGAGACCTCAAATCCCTATGTCATTACTTAGAAAGAAAAATAAGGAAAACAATGCCATTTATTGAACTTTAATGACAGTGGATCAACGTTATAATAGTTGTAGACACTAAAACATCTTTAGAACTACTTAAATGCAATTGGGAAATAAGTTTTTTAATGCACGAAGCCATGGTTTATGACATAAAAAAGAGCTTCAGAACTCGGGTTATTCCGATCAAGTAAAGTATGAATATTCAACTCTGCTGGACAACAACAATTAGTACAACCGGTCGTTTGAAACACTTGATATGAATTTACGTAAGCCTAAAGGCTAGGCTCTGAATGTTTTTCGCCAAATATAGTTAAAGCATAGATAACGAATATTTTACTTAAATTCTAACTCCTTTAGTGCATAACAAAAGATTGACTAATAGATCTTTGTTAAAAGTAATAACTTACTGATTCCTCTCGAAAGATATCTTCAAACTTTGGAATATCTTCAGTTTTTTCATTCAGGGTAATCAGCTTAACTTGTCGTTGATTGTAGTAATTCTTTACGTGAATGGGCCTATGGCTTAATAAAATAATGGATTACACATAAGGAAACTAGGGATATACCTATCACAGACAAAAAAGATGGTCGATTCTGGGGCATCCAAATCCTCCAAAATATCGAAATTAGCTCCACAATTGATAAGAAGAACGTAGGTGAACTGGGAGCATTATAAGAGCAAATGAATTTCTTACATTTTCCTTATTTTCAGAAAACCGTTGTCTTAACTCCTCTTTGTTTGACACGATGATTATTGAATATAAAAGCATGGAATGCCGACAAATGTGTCGCAGAATTCGACTCGAACAGACACTGTCAACTTCGGGAGTAATAAATACGAGAATATGCTAGTGAAAACTGAAAGAAAGAATCTAAGCATACCTCTCCAGAAACAGGATCTATAAATTCTTTGCGAATATCTTCAATGAGACCCATATCAAACAAGGAGTCAGGTCACTGAAATTAATACAGCATTAGGTAGAATTAAAAATAAGTATACATCGCGAAACAAATAAATAATAGCGGGACTTCTGGTTGCAATAAAATTGAATAATAAATTCGTTGATGTGGTATTTCAAAATGAAATAACGATACCAACTTTATTCAAGTAAAATATAAATAAAAATGGCTATTCATTACACATTTTGGAACAATAAGTACTAATAGGATCAATGGTATAGACCACCGAAATCGATTTAAACTATAATTAAAATGGAAAAACGAATTCTTATGTACATAAGTAATTAATTTCAGCAACAGGCATACGATAAGCTATTGTAATCTTATAATTTCTAAATCCACCAACCAGAAAGGAGCAAATCTATATTCAAAAGATTACTTTTTAGCTAGATTCGTATAAACGGTTTAATATAACTATTTTCTGCATTTTGTAAAACGAAGAATATTTATTTTGATTAATTATTAGTAATTTACAAATTTTCTCGGATTTAGTAATCGATGTATCTTAACGCATGGGAACTGATATCTAAATGAGGTATAGACATTTTCAGCATTACTAAACTAACATAATTTCTGTCAGTAACAAGACATGAATCACTTGAAAGATTTTTGCAAATCTAGATACTAAATTTGTCTTTCTATCACCTCATGCTTCATTACTTTTTCATTGAATCATTAGTTGGGAGTCATCTCCTATTTATCTTCAGGAACGAATATTGACGAAGATTTCCACCACACAAAGTATGGCCCATAAACGAAATTAAAAATCTATTCTAATTGTATCATTCGTCTAGTTAAAGTTAGTTGAGCAGGAAGCGTTTTACCTTTTTCTTCCTGTTTTTTTCAGGGAAATCCATTGAGCACAAGACTTATCTGAGGAGTATCAATGGGGATATCTTTTGTTATTTATTTGTCGGAACGTAGTAATGCTTATCAATGCTGTGAAAAAATCGCAGCGTTCCATTTAAAATAAAATATTTTCGCGTCGTATTTTTATAGTCCTCATTTCATTGGAGAACATAGAATTATACGCCTGCTTTTTCTTGATTTCGAGCGATGTGGCTCGTTACAAATTGCATGTGTGAGAACTTTTATTCTTTTAAGCTTTTCCACGCTTTTGCGGTTATATAAAGTATACTCTATGATACACTGAGGAAGATAAGTTCCCCAAAAGCCATATGTTTTCCTCATTCTCCTACCCCTTTTTTGAACTAATCTGCAAATATATTTCTGTCGTAAATGCTGTATAACATATGTCAGCCTATCAATACAAATACTGGGGTTTGAGTTCTTTAGGATATTGGATCGTACTTGCAGGTGTAATTTTGCAGTAAACTGAGTCGGTTACGGTATACTACTTTGGGGATAATATTTAACTAAATGATTTTTATTGGATTCCATAATTAATGAAAATATTATACGCTCAAATGTAAAATTAAGTGACATTTGGATAAGCAGCGATATCTATCTACACAGGTTCCTCTGGTTAAAGTAAACCAGAGTTAATTCAGCGTTATGATTGCATCGGATAAATATGATGCTTTAAGAAATACCTCTTTACTTTCCAGTGCCAGCACTACTTCTATACGAGTATTTGCGTTGGAAAAACATACCGCAATTTCGAAACTACAATAGCCATCTTACCTGTTGTATTCTTCTTCAAATGGCTAAAGAGTAGACGTCAGCAAACACGCCTACTTACGTCTAAGCACATATGCAAAAGCTAAATAAACAAATTGTAATAAAAGAGCACAATCTTGTAATTTTTTGTATACATGCTTTGTGTAAATAGATATTAAGTTATGATGAATAAGGGACAGCAAAGCATTCGCCTTTTAAGAAGTAGATGGATCAGGGGTATGTGAAATGGGTGGCAACGATGAAAAATAATCAGAAGTAGACGATAGATTTAATGCCTCCTGGTCACTACCATTGTCTGCATGACCAATCCCTGGTCGCCTTTTTGGCTCACTAGGACCATAAGACTCTCCTTCATTATTATTATTCAACACATCCTCGTCCTCTGAAATTCGTTTAAGAGAAGCGACTTTCCTCCTTTCAGGAATGGCAATTTCACTTCTCGATTCTAAACGATGAATTCTACAAGAGATCAACACCAGCAATAATAATAATGCTTTCTTCACTACTTGAGGAGGGAATTCTTCCTAGGCTGCCTTACCTATAGCCCAGGGAAATAATCACATTGTTGAAGCGCGTCATTTTATCATTCATATCGCGTAGTGAAGTTGCAAGAGCGACAATTGCCTGTTGCATGGTGCCTATCTGCTTAATAAGAGTTGCGATTGGGGAGTCGTCAGAGGGTAGAGTTTCATGTTGAGATTGCTACAAAGAAAACGGAGTAGACTATTAATGTCATATCATCTATCAGCTATTGATACTTGGAATGACTGCGACATCAAGAAGATAACGAAGTCAGTTTGCGGAAAGAAAATACTACCGCCGCTGATTTCGAAGTCAGTCATCATAATCAGTAAATTGTACTACGTCACTTAAAAGGTTTCAAACTAAAGTTTCATTATAAAAACCACAGGCTCCCGAAATCGTTCTCATCTGTAATGTTCAGAGATAAACAATTCTTGATTTGGCTAAAAGCAACTAAATTTTTAACTTGGCAGAACCCATGGGAATATATTCAAGAGAAATTCTAACGAGGAATATATGCCTTCACTCACTTAATAAAGCACAAAAGAAAAAGAATTGAAGCTAGTAAGAAGTGGTAACAAAAAATACCTAACTCTATGATCATGCTTCGTTTTAACTTTTCAATTCTCGAAACTGGAAATGAGTCCGCCCACTGGTATAAAATCGGTTAACTAGGCAACAAAAACTAGGTCAAAAAAGCCTCCGACGAACTACTGAAGCCCTTTTTGTGCTAAATAGTTATAATGATTTTGTACTTTAGTGATTCTATTGGTAACAGCTTCATTTGAATACTTATCTTAAAGAGTGGCAAACTGACGTGATTTTCGGAGTTGGAGGAAGGGGAACTAATGGCACTGGGATCGATAATTCCATGGGAGACCGAGGGTTGGGATGCCCCAGGCACGATAGGACCACCACCTGAGGAGGACGAGGGTGGACCAGTGCCAAAATCGAGTAGATTGGGAAAGGATTGGCTGAGATTCTTCAGAAGAGAGGTAGATTGCAGGTGTCGAATGCGCCTCTGATAAACCAACTCATTCAAATTGTGCTGCTGACGGTGCACTGAAGTTTGGAAAAATATATCAGACAGCACCAAAATACTTTAAACACAACTAATAAATTTCTCATCATTATCGATTCAGGCCAAGTCAATGGATACTGCAGCAGCTCCATCTAGCCTAATCTAATTTTAAAGACGACTTTCGTCTCTACAAACGGATACGGAGTCTTAGTCACAGATAATTGTCAAGATTGGTATTCCACCAAAACTGCTTAACTAGAAAGTAAATTGACTGCATAATAAGTATCGAAATTGACTGTCATTTCGAGTCCCAAAACAGGACATTCGCACTCTGCTCCCCCCCCCCCCCCCCCCCCCCCCCCTTGTTAAAATGACGGATCAATTAGTTTATTTGAGATGTGTATGAAGAGGATCGATTCCGTTCCTCAAATCTGTACAGTAAGAGTTACATCATTGGCGCTTAGGCGAGACAGTGAGGAAACACTAGTATCATATAAGTTAAGTAAATGCCAATATAAAGAAGTAAACCATATTATCCTGTCATTCCAATTACTTGTTCTCGTGACCTCTAAGGTAATAGAGAAGTCTAACGAAATGCATTTTTCTTCAGATAGAACAGAACGCAAATGACCACATGAGAAATGAGCGCAGTAGGAATGATTACTAGCATTAATTCCTGCCAGAGGCTCGAGGGAATTTCAAAAATAGTTAATTTATGAGGATACTCATTCTAAAGGAATAACATGCATATACTTTCATAACATATCGGCTGCCTGCTTAAATAAGCAATGAATAGACAACAAAAAAAATTGAGTCAGTAAGAAGAGTGAACGTATTTCAAAAAGGAAATAGAGCTACTCACACTTGCTTTCGTAGATCTGCGGCAGAAGCACCTCATCGAAGTGTTCCATTGCCATGGAAGAGATGTCTCGCAACTCCCGAAGTAACTCAGTGGAACGGGAGATGGGTTCAGTTGAAGATTTGATTGCCACATAAACGCGTCGCAATTCGTCTAGTACCTTTCCGGGAAAGAAGGAGCAATAACCCTCATCAACATAACGCATTATCGTCATTCCAAGAAGTGATATCCGAGTCTCCACTGCTGAAAGTACATCTGCGTGCCTGTAAAAGGGAGAGGATGAAATTGCATTATACTGACCCATAATATGACATAAAGTCCACTGATAGTGTTAGACGATCCATTGCGATTTTATTACAAATTTAAAGACATGATCTATAGAAAATAGGATTCTAATATACGAGAAAATTTGAACTTAAGAGGCGCATAACAATCTAATTGAAATCCCTCACCAATACCAAACACGCAACAAATATAAGTAAATGCAGTTGACGAAAGCTTAAAAAATAAAAAGTAGGCAATCACAAGAAACTGTTTTATTTGATGGATGATATGGATGAAATCTACAATTTTATCAATTATTGCATTCAGTAAAAAAATAAGACAATAAGAGAGAAAAATACATACAATGACTTATATTAGGAGCAAATGTGCACAATTAGTAAAGTACGAAACCCAATGTACATATTTAATCGTGCAAACACCAATAGGCCAAATAATAAATGAAAGAAAAATTATTGAGTCTTTTGTTCAGATAGTAAAATCTGAGATTTGCCTGTCAGAGGTAGAGATAGAAATAAAGGGAATATTGCAAAAACAACGAATATGGAGAAATCGAACTAAGGAATTAGATTTATACAATTTCCACAAATAGAATGAAAGTGATGTAAGTAGCAGCCCTTGTGTCAATAAATGAGATGATAAACACTGAGAAGTAGGCTATGGGAAACAATTGAAAGTGAGTGCTGATTAACAACTCTTTCCCTATTATGTAATTAAAGCCAAGCTCAGTCGGGAATGCAGCAAATCAAATCTGAAGAAAGTTTAACGCGAAATTTAAAAAGTACCACACAATCTTGAGAAAATTAGGGTTGAGTAATGGAAATATTCAGAGAACCAAATTACGCATTTAACCTCGTACAATAACAGCTAATTCATTTGCTTTCGAAAGAATGCGATAGGGCTATAAGAAAAGATAGCTTACCCAGCCATATTATGTCGACGCCTTTCAGATTCCCTTCTGGGAAGAAGGAGTTTTAATTCTCGTCGATAATCCCTCACCAACTGTTCCAAACGACAGAACTCGCATTTAAGGAGATCTGCAGCCACAAAATTGAACTTCCGGCACACTGGTCGAATTTGAGCGACTTCATGAAAGGAAAGAAAGCCGAATACCTTCCGAAGACAGTCGTTCGGCATTTCATTTATGTGCATTTTGTCGGATTACAGTATTGAACAATTCAGAGAAAGCAAACTATAAAAAGCAAACACAATTGTTAAACAAAAGGAATATGGAAATTTAATAAGCATAAGAACGAGAATAACTACAAGATATTTTATTAAATATACAGATTTAAAAGAGAGGGAACAAAGACTAATAGAAGGACCAAGGATAGGTGCCCCAATCAGCCTCAAATCGAGAATTGTTGTTACTTCTATAGGTTCCATCCGTATTTCGACGATGATTCAAGGACTGCCGCATAGCATCATCCAGTCGCCATAGGTTATTGTACCTGTACTCAAGGCCATCTTGGTTGAGACGATACTTGTATTTGGCAGTGAAAAATTCAGAGAAAAGCTGATGGTGCTGCCAGCGCTGATTGTGCCAGCTTCTCAAATAGCTTCTGGTTAAATATCTGTAATTTTCGCTGCATTTCAGAGCCTATTTATTGAAAATGAATATTATCAATACACATAAATTGATAAAAAAATTAATAATCCTATCCACTTACAACTGGCAAATTGTTCTCGCCAACTTTAGGTCCTTCAACAATCTTCCATTCCGAAATATTGACCGGTTTGTCCGAACGGAAGGGTGAGTTGCCACGACGTATAAATTTTCCATTTGGAAGGAGTCGGAAATTGACCATATCTGCTTCAGACTCTGGTAAACCATCGGGGAAAGTGACAGGTTGAATTCTGATCAAATGTTTAATGTGGTCCAAATTTTTTGCGTTTTGCGGGGAATTTTTAACCAGCTTCCAATTGCCAATTTTTACATCTGAACCAATGCCGTACGTCTCGAGAAAGGCTCTCTCAAAGAATGTGGTTCCCTTAATGGGCTTCAGTCTGCAAACCATAAAAATTGGAGAGCTGTCAGGAAAATAAGTGTAATCTTTGCGAATTTCATGCAACTCGAAAAGGCGTTGGGCCCATGCAAGCGGATCAGTTGCATCAATTGAGCCAGGAACGGGTTTGCTCTCATACGTCCTGGCTTTTCCTAATGACGAAGTGCTTGTATGCAGGAATTTATAAGACGCGACATTGAATGCCTTCGATACAACATCTGCTCTAATTAAAGAGTTAACAATGCTAAACATTTGTAGGTACGCAGGTTAAGAGTATGAAGGTTGATTAAGGTCAGTCATAAGAAAATTTCGCGCAATTTTAAAGCAATTAAACAGGCTGCACAAATAACGCTGTTCATATCGTATAATTTCTTATATATTATAATAGTTTATTTCGATGATTAAGGGACTTATAATTATTTTTAATAAACGCATTCAAGCAACTCTGTATACATTGAAATTAAGTGATAATTTATCAAAAAAATTCTCTGAATTACTTTAATTATATATTTATACACGTCAAATATACGCCTTATCCTATCGACCAGGTAGTAGGCATTTAATAATATTTAAGTAATCATACCCGTTCTAGTATTTCTGAACATAAATGTATAGCCATTGCACATAAAATAAGTATCAAAATACTTAGTCCAATCATTAACTAATATTAATTCCTATCACAATCGATGAAATCAAATAAACCATATCTATAGATCTGGAGTCAGAAATTTAGTGGAATAAATTAAGATGATGGAATACTATGTGGATTATTCGATAATTCTCTAATTCAATTAATCGAAATCGCCGTTCAAATGCAAACCATAAAGATCTGGGGATGAGTATAAATGCAACAATTGTGAGGCAGAATGGCTTGAAGTACTTTAGTTTTTATCGATATATGGACGAAAACATCTAATTAATTTGAACACAATCCAGCTTTTACAAAAATGTCAACTTGAGCTATACTGTACTAACAGTTTAATGTTTCAACTATTTGCTCTCTTTTTATTTCTAAGTGTTTGGTAGAATCAATAATTAATTGCAAAACTTGTTTAATATTTGGACAAAATTGAACTATCTTCCCATCAAGAGTTGTTTCCATGAATACCTGCTTTTCTTCTTCTTCAGCACCAATCCTCTTCCCTTACATTTTATCTTTCATTCCTGTTTTTCCATAGAGTTTGAAAATTGACAAAATACGAAGTCAAAATTGTCATGTTTTCATGTGTTATTTCCATATTATCCTTTCCCTAAGTTCTTTACCTCTCTTGAATGATGATAATCCCTTACCATCCTATTAGAATATCATTTATTATAACCCCTAAAAATGTCAGTGAGAAGAAAATTTAACCCATATTATGAGAATAATGGTACCGTCAAATGCTCACTTAATCCGCATAATTACAATCAAGAAACAGGAATACTGAGTCGAAATAAATATCGATGGTTATTAATTAAAGGTTAGTATTTCGACAATGGCGTGAAAGCTATTTATAAATAATATTTTGCTCAGTCACAAATTGCAAAGCCTGCATCACCAAATAATACTTTCAAGTGAAAAGTAATTGGACACCAAAATCTCTCTTTAGACTGATAAAAAGGTCGCAGTATAATTCAAAAGTTCTACCTAAATGGAGTGTAGCAGATTAGCTACCTCAATAAACTTGACTATTCTCAGAAATCTCTATAGCAGTTTCTTCCAGCTCGAAAGGCCCCGGAAATTAGCACGGAATACGCTTATTCAGTACGTATATTGATAGCGCAGTGAACACGCAGGGAGCTACTCATGATCAGGATTGGGGATTAGGTTAAACAGAGGTTGATGATTGGTCACTGTTTGTACTGTCGCTGCACACAGAGTTGTACGGCCGCACCTCCCAATCCTAGCGAGCAGACATGCAGGCATACGATGACGCACAGAGCGATAACGTGTCCCACAGGAGTCACTCTTAAGAAGACAGTGGATTTTGGGAATTAGGAATTTATCTTCGTCCAATATAGTTGATTGGGTTGGAAAATGTTTTAAAACCTTGGGCAGGATTTAAAGTTACAGAGAACAAGACTTACTTGAAATGTCTTTAAAACATTAGACCATTATCGCAAATGTTAATAGAATGCCGGATACGACTAAATGTACCGGCATTATATCAATTTTAGCCTCTGGGCTTTTCGTTTTTAGGTAGATTAACTTGTGGATCTATATATATAGTTTAGAACAGTTTCAAAGCATGACATTTAAGAATATTTTAAAATTACTGTATGCTTCCCTATTTTTTTGTATTTTTGAAGTATTAATAGGAAGAAACATTTTTCACAAAAATCGAAGAATTATAAACTTCTGCAGATTTCAAAAAATTGCCAGCGTTTAAATTAAATTTTATTCACAGCCAATTTTACTGACTTAATAGTGTACCTTGTAGCAACTCCTGTTCAAGTATTCAAGGAACTTAAAGTAAAAATTCGGAGGCGGTGGAAAATTTCCAAAAGCTCCACAGAAATAAGCAAGTCTACTTTCTTCCCTACAGAGCGCATCCCAAGGTCAACCACAAAGATAATCGCACAGAAGTAGTAGTAGCAGTCGGTTACAAATTTCATTATGCCTGCCCACTGGTTACGTTTTTAACCACATCGCTAATATCGAGACTGATAATCCCTTTAAGTCTTGCCGGTTAATAAATAGTGATACACATCGAAAAGTTTAGCCACACCCTCCCCTTTAGTATTTAAATACTTTAACAAGACCACGATTTCAATAAAGAACAACCAAATCCTTAAAGCTAAATCAATCCACGAATGATTTATTTTTTTGTCTTCTTTATAGCATCCGTGCTAATACAATGCGGATCTTAAAACCACACAAAAGAAGGTCGATATAGATTTTAGATTTGTTAAAAAGCTTTCTAAACTCATTTGAGTGTTCAATACATTAAGATCGTCTCAATTTTTCTGTCATAGGTACCTATTATGAACCTTGTTTATTTCAAATGGCGGGCTTTATGATACTTATCACTAACACTTTAGCTGACTTCGGGCTTCACAGAGGGAAGGAACATCAAAGTGAGAGAAAGTGGAGGGGTGGGGACAGAAGAGTGATTCAAAGATGTAAAAGAGACAGACAGACAGACAGACACAAAGGCAGAGAATGGGTAGGATAAGTACAGTGGAAGTAATCGAATAAGACATACAGTGGAGTCATGCTAGTTTGAAGTTAAAAGTCGGCTGCCGGTTTATAGACTTTTTGCCGTATGTATATACGTTGCCCAGGGGACACCACGTGGAGGTTAGTTTATCGCACACCCCACCCATTGTGAACCTAAAATTAACATAAATGCTGTATTCATTATTTATTCTCATCCCAATCTACTTATTTTCGACAGAATTAAGGGTACTATCTTCAACATCTTCCCATAAATCTCACGTGAGTTCCACTAGGGCTTCACCATTCATAGATAAAAGGACGGTTGAAGGATTTTTGATTATGATTCCGAAATTCCTGTTCAATGGAACTGCAGTGGAAAAGAAATTGGCTTCAGATTAGCATTTTTTACATTTTCTTTATAAATATCGGAAAATGGATCAGTATTAAAAGTATCATAATTGATTGCACAGACTAGATGATAATAAAGCGATGGTAGAAGTCTCCAAATTGTGCTAAACACGGAGAACTCGGTTTTGATTCGCAGTTTGTGGTGAATATTCGATTGCGTTTGAGGATGATAGAGTTTGAAGCGTGATCTCATGCCATCTTGAGTAAGAACAACCTGGATGAGATAGAGGCGCCTTTATATAAGCTCGGCTGTTGATTGAGATGAGATTTTGGTTTGCTGTGAAATACCTCGTTTGATTTCTATAAAATCACGTTCGAAATAATCAACTTTCAGTAGCAAACGAATTCAATAATGCCAATCCTCTCGGATTCATCGTCAACAATATGAAAGGTGGTTAAGTATTTTGATCACTAATATAACACAAATTCGTCGACTATTGACCGGATAGTTTCTGTAACAGAAGCTATCAAGAATGAAATTAAAATTTTGCAATCAAATTTGTAAATATTAAATGAGATAGTAGGCCAAATTTTCGCTATAGATGCCTCAATAGCGAAGACCAGATATTGCGATTTTTAACACGTTAAGAGATAGATTTTCAAAGTTAAGTGTGCATTTCACTCATTTTTGCAGTAGTTAAAAGCGTTATATAGATATCGCAATTAAGAAGACACAAAATTTGCACACTGATTGTTTCATATTTATCCAAGGCTCATTAAAAGTCAGTATAAGTCAACTTGATATTACTCTTCTGATTAGACAAAAAAGACGTCTTCAGTTGTTTACGTCAGTTGTATATATGATGATTTTGTTTTTATTTCATCAAATAGTTGTCAAATTGTCATATACAACTGAAAGCTTCCTTTAAACGTGACTGAATATTGATGATATAATAATATTCCAACAAACAAATAATAAGTGCTTCCCCATATAACTAATAATGACTTTAAACTATTAATTATTATTGGTTGAACGATAAAATATTAGCTTCAAAATCATGTTGCTGTAGTCACTTGATTAATTTTGATTTGTTTGTTTTTACTATTTTTACGAATTTTGGTATTGGTGCGTTTTGGAAATTTTGCTTTGGCGTTTATTGTTTGCGTGTGCATTTCAATTATTCTTCCAAGACATATCAGGGTATCCTCTCTCATATTGAAAGCAGATTTTCTTTTCATTTTGTCACATTTCTTTTAAGTACTAATTAAGAGACCATTATTGATCTGACAAAATTTTATTTTTGTACATTTATTTTTTTTGCATTTTAGCATTGATTTAAGCACTTATTTTGCCGTTAATGGCTTCGGCGTTAAGGGCGCCCTCAAATTTTTCCAACATGTCAAGTATTCAGGATTCTCTTGCAAAGCCTCAATCTTTACCGAAACGTACTTCAGTTCATTCAATAGGTACCAGTTCCGTTCCATCCACTGGTATGACTTTACGTTCTGCCGCTCTTAAGAACAAAAGCGGAGGCGACATGAATTCATCTAATCAGCCTAACAAGAAAGGCAATATTTCTAAGCGTTCATTTATATTGATAATTACTCTGTTATTGTTATGTTTAACCTTATTAACTTTGAATTTATAGCTTCTACTGCTCGCTCCCTACAAAAGCCAGCGGTTATCAGAACTAAAAGGACCGTCACAGATTCTACAGCTGTACGTCTCTGCCTATTCCATAAATTCATTTTATTCGAAATTAACTCCTAATTTGCGGTTTGTGGGGTGTTTTATGGCTTTTAAATCAGCCTTCATGTTTACACCGTGTCTTATAATTCACACTTATTTTGATGAAAATAAAGCCTTTGATACTTTATTAAAGGCATCAGAAAGCCAATCTCAAAAATCTACCACTGCGAGCTCTACATCTAAGGCTTTCGGCACACTAACGTCGAGTACGGCAAGTACTAGAGCAATTCCGCCTAGCCCAAGTAATCAATCTCAGAAATCTCTCAAAGGTATGATATTTTTAATAGTCTATTAGTCTTTTGAAATCAATAAAAATGTCTTTTCCTAATGTTATTTTTGAGCAAATGCTTGATTTCTAGTTTCAACAGTTTAGATGTTAATTCTATGGGTTCAGATTAACACATATTTAGAGATTTGACTGGTTAGTTTCTCTTGTTCATGATTGACATCGATTCTATGCTCGTGTGTATCCTTTCGATGGAGCTAGATCTTATATTTGATTTGCCATTGCGTTAAAACTGTATTCAACACATGTCGAACTTTGGTTATAGTATAATTTTTACCCGGCTTCCATGACTATTTATCCCCATTGGTCTCTGAATTCTTAATTAACCAGCAAAACAAGTAAAACTGTTAATTTATGGCTTGTTTCAGATAATAGTTATATTTCCTCAATTACGACTGTTGGATCGACAACTGCATTTAGACCCAGGCCCTTTCCAATCTTTTAGTCCCTAAATTCCTTTCAAAATAGTATAGCCTTGCTAAAAGTATATGCAGTTTATTGAGAAGTATGTACAGTGCCCCAGGACACATTACTGAGAATACGTCCTTGCTTCAATTACAAATGTTTTAGGTCAGACATCGCTAATGGGAAATTCAACCATGTTGTATTGAAAGCGTGCTATACAATTAAACGTGGGAGGGGGTTGGGGACTGAGTACCACAATAACTGTTTTTTCTCTTTACAGTTTAGAGGTGGTCAGGTCGTCTATTGATGCAGTTTCTAAATTGTCTTTTTTTTCATTATTGCTGATTAAGCGTAAAGGCTTGGTTACTACGAAAAAATTTCCCTCCAGAATCATGTAGCTAAATACTTTTCACTCTATGCCTAATTATGATTAGTATAGTACATTAATTATTGTGTAAGATCACACTTTAAGATAGTTTTTATAATCGGATTGGTGTTTGATTCATATTCTTGCTTTGTCATGATTCCATTATTCATTTCGAGTGTTAATTTGTGCAAGGCAAAACTTCTCTAAAAACCTTGTTGCTAATTGTGACTTCCTTCTCTCCTTTATCCTGACTGACATTAGTCAATCTACTTTTGCATCATGCTATTTCTGTTCCTTATTACAACAGAATGTATTCAATGGTTATCTATTAGCGTTTCTTTTGCGTGTTTTGTAATTTACAGTTGGCGAAAGCGATTTAATAACTTATTAGAAAATTAATTTCGAAGTTACGGCATCCGACCCCAGGCAGGTCATATTCTAAGTTTCTTTAGGCTTTGACCTAATTGAGATATGTTCACTGTTTTTTTACTCTCAGGCCAACTTTTCAGCCGTGCGACGTAAAATATGTGACGCAAAGGTAACACGAAATTAACTAATCCATTCTCTTAGAGCTGTGAAACTGGTTTTTATGACAGTTTGATAATGATACTTTATTCAAGTAATAGCTACTTATAATGTGATGTTAATTATTAATTTCCCCAATTCAATACTTTAGTTTTTGATGACAGTGCATTCCGTATCATAAAATTTTTGATTGGAGTATTGTACACTAGATACATTTGCTTTTATTCAAGTAATAAATGCAATGACCGTTATGTCAAATATTTCCTCCCGTACAATTATCCCTGGTTCAATGTATTATTGTTTTGTGTTTATTACTTTTGAATGGGTTATTATGCTTTATCATTAACTTTACCTTCAATTTCCTTGAGTAAATTAATTTTTGTGTGTGTGTGGGGAAGTTTGCTGACCAGTCAATAGTTTTCGATAAAAATAAATAACAAGATCTGGTAGAACAATGGAAGCTTCTCAATTTTTAACATCAACATTGAGGTGCTTGTTCGTTAATGATGCAGCTGTTAACCTGTTCGTCTGTGAAGTCAGAGGCCACGAGTTGGATGCACACAATAAGCGTATTGGCTAGTTGCATCAACCAAGTTGAGTTAATAAAAATGGAGTGCGAAATTCAAGGTTCAAAATGCTTCAAATGGCTTTATAACATTTACATGTATGCATTTGCGAAGTTTATCTCCTCATGACCAGTTTGTTATTTCCACATTAAATTTAATATTATTCCCTGAATTCTAAGAAATAGGAATCTTTGAGTGCCTATGTACGAGTCATTCGTTGACGTCTTTTTCTTTTTGTGCATCATAGACCCCAATGCAAACAGTAAGGATTGACTTATTCCCGAAGTATCGTGGTTTGTTATTGTGGTACTGGGTGACTGGGAGCGAGTTTGTGGAATTTTGGATGTTTTCATGTCAATCTGATACTGCTTGTTGCTGATTAAGGAACGGTTATCCCTTTATTACCAATACAGTTCATATAAGGGGGTCAATATGAGTGATAAAGTATATTCGAAAGAAAGAAATTTCATGCAGATAGTTTGTAATCCATTTTTGCTTTGCCTTTCAGACTGCGTACAATCCTTCCAGCATCCTATTTCTTTTGACTGGTGACCAGTTACTTAGAGATTGCTTGAGTTTTGTTTTAACGTGCTCTACATATCATATGAGCAGTTGTGTACTTATTGACGTTTTACTGGTCGGTTTTACTTTTCTAATCTTTGAAATTCTCCCACTAACACCTTACATTGTCTACATAAGTACTTAAATACTCATTCAGGTTTCATTAGTCTTCTAAAATGCTTTTCACTTTACTATAATAAGAGAGCGCTCATGCAAAAAACCAGGGCTTAATTTCCAAGCTCAAATTTGTGGTATTCGCATGCTATTAAGGATTGCGAATCTTCCCTTCTTTTAAGTTGATGAAATTAATCACCATATTCGATTGCTACTGATCAAGGGAGAAAATCTAGACAATGAAGTCTTTACTACAACCGCCTTTTATAAAATCGAAATATGACTATATTATGTTTGTTTTAGAGTGATCTCTTTTATAATTGAACAATATAGATATCATTTTGATAGGATGGAATCTAGATTTCTTTATTCCTATCTTTTCGATTGACATTTGGTCTTAGTGGAGCAATATTAAAACAATGAGCGCAGTTTCCGTTTATCTGTACTTTTGGTTCTTGTGACTGACGTCTGATTGCTTAAATTGACCACATTATCACATTATTATGTATGTTATTACATTATGTATTATTATATCACTTCATGCTTATATTTAAGTTCATTTGTACACTTGACGCGGACTTGCACAATGTCGTCTCTGGTTAGAAGCCTGAATTCCACTACGTCTTCTATTAGCTTGAATATTACGTTAGCCAATCAGTTCACTGATTTTGTATGCTCTCGCATCGAACTCATAACATGACTTCACAAACGAGCACGTTCATCGCTGCAGTTGTCGCTAATATTTTTATTTCCTTGTTTTTCCTGACCAATTACTTAAATTATTATTTACTTTTTTTTGTCATTAACAGATCATCTAGCTGAGATCCGGGCAAATGCTACCCCACGTAGGGCGTCGGAGGTAGCCTCTCCAGTAGCAACGCGCTTGCGAAAGAATTCCAAACCTACTATCACTACCTCCGTCACTTCAGCAACTGTCTCCCTTCGTCGTACTAACAGTCTAATCCCCAAGACTAACGGTAGATCAACAGCATCCGCCGCTAATTCTATTAATTCCGTGGCATCTAAGTCACTCATTGCAGAAAAGGAGGCTGAACTCACGGCGCTGAGACAACGTTACGAAGCCAATGCTGCTCAGTGGAGTAAAGCTTTTGATGCCTTCTGCATATTTTCACAGTGGAGCATAAACAGGAAGGCTGATCAAGTTGAGTGGACTTCTAAAAGACTGAAAGAGGCCGAAGATAGTGTTACGGCTCTTTCAAATGAAAATAGTAGGTTATTTAATTTGTTTTCATTTCTCATAATTGAATTTAGCTTTTAACTAGGTTGATTAATTGGTAGTTTGATTTAATTTGTCTTTCTTTAAGATGCAATTAATATAACATTCGAATTCTGGGGCCTTTCACTCTCCTATATATGCGCTTTCACTACCATGCTGAATCTCCAACCAATGTGGTTCATTATCCAAGTTCGATGACTGTTGAGCACCATAAATGAAAGCTGTTTTAATTACCTAAACCTTCAATAATTAAGGTTTTTTTTAAAACACAATTTCCTCATTTCCCCAGTTGTCCAAGTTCTTAACCTCAGATAATGCCATTGGGCCTTTCTCACTTTCACACTGGGAGCCACTGTTAACTTTAAATTAAATAATTGGCCAATTTCTTCTCCCATTATGGAGGAATGCACTAATCTTCTGACTTTCTCTTGTTTACCTCATTTATTCTTTTTCTTACCATATATAGATAGTTCGATATCTTATAGCCTTGAAAAAGGTGAAGGTTAAGAAATTGCAACTTATTTGTTCCATTTGTAGCCATTGTTTGAAATGTGTTTGTTATTCTAAAAAAAGACGGCGAAATGTGTGGAATTTTTCAACCAGTTAAAAAGGCTTAAGACTGAACTCTGTTTGTGATCATTTGTGATCTTCCTCGTAACCCTGAGATTTTATTATTCGGACAGGCGACTTCTTTTAAGTTTATTTGGTTTCACAAGGCAGATTTTTAGGGTTTTGGAAATTGGCAAACCCATTTCTATGTCTGGTAATAAATTGCATATCTACCATTTGTGAAAGCATTTTTGGAGAATGAGGTTGAAAGGCTTTTCCCTCCTTTAAGCAGTTAGTCGCCTGCTTATTGGTAGTGTTATATTCGCTTTAGCAGCTAATGTGATCACAGCGTTTTTGCTACAAACTTACGTTTCTAGCTGCAGTCTTAGGAAAAATGGATTAAGTCATCACTAGATACGAGGTTTCTACTAAATTCTTTTTTTTCCAATTTATCACCTTGTAAAAAAATATATAAATCTTTGGATTTAGAAATCACTGAATTCCATCAGCAATTAATCAATATTCATAATATTGCTTTATTTCAGTTGCTATTTTGTTTTTTTATTATAATTTTGAGCATCATTTAGTGCGATTTTAAATAATTTTTAATCAAGTTTGTCATTTTCTGTGCCTAAACAGAAAGTGCATATTTGATTTTATGACATCACATATCCCAGTAGAGCTTTTTAAGGAATGTAAATGTCAAAAATTGGAATGTTGGCAGACTTTTAGCTATATACTAATTGGATTAAAATGTCTATAATTTCTGATTACGTCCTTTATTTGACTTAATTTTTCTATGGTTCTTGTGAGTCAGGCTTTGTTTGTGTAATCTGTTAATAGTTGCTTAGGGATTCCGAATGTGACCACAATTAGGTTAATCATTGATTTTGGGGATTGTTAACTTCAAATTAACTTCTAAACATTAACCTTGATCACTCGTTGTATTGTCATGGTCCCTTCAATAGGTCAGTGGTAGACTAGGAGAACGGCATGCTCATATATTGCCTAAGCTGTGTTTTTAATACGTCCTCGTTTTCACACTTGTTGATCTACATAATGGCAACTGGAAACTGGTTTGTCATTTAATTTTGGGTTGCCTTTTTCAGCTCAAATTAAGGCGGATATGGAACAACTTCTACAACAGCATGCAAAAAGTCAAGCTGAGCAGTCCGAAGCCTGGGAAAAAGAGCGCTTAGCTCTCCGTTCTGAAATGGAAGCTCAAAGAATCAACCTCCAAACGGAAAAGAAAAAGGAAATCGAAAAGAGTAAGTCAAATTCTGCCTTTTGAAAACTATCCGTTGCTTAAAAACCCTGTTTCCCTTCAACTACATTTACCCCTTTTCATTATATCGTTTTTGTTAATACGCTGTTTGGTTTGAATCCATTGTCACGTCCTATTACTATGTTTCTTACCATTTCACTATTTTCGTCAGAATTTCCCACTTAGTTTTCAAATTTAAACAAATGGGCAATTGGGTATTGCAGATGCTGTTTATAGTAAGAAATTGCTGTTTTTTTGGCCACTACGTAAGCGAATTCTAAGACCAAGTGCTCGAAGGTCTAAAGGGCTTGATTTAGCTTCTAAATGTGCAATAATGTCTCATACAAGCCTAAAAGTCAGATAAGACTCATTTATCCTTAAATTATTATGAAAATTAGCTTTAATGAAACAATTTAAGCTTCTAATTATTTAAATTATGTCACCGTCTGAATAGCTTATTTTCTTAAAGCAATTTCGCAACTAGATTTAGTGAAATCCACCAGCCCTTAGGTCTTTTGCGAAACTCGGATGCTGTTCCGTATTTATCACGTGGGTTATTTTCCATTCGCTCCTTTTTTTATTTCAACTTCTCGTTTATTCCGCCCCCTTCCGATATTTTAAAAGCAATCAAATAACTGCGTCCCTAAGGAAGCGAATGAGAGAAATCGAAATTTGAGATATCGTATCTGAGCATAGAAGGGTCTTTTAGCCGATGTTGCTTTTTTTAAAAAAAAATAATTTAAAAGTCCAAAGTGCAGTTAGATAGGATTGTTTAATGTAAGGAAGCTGCTGAAAGCTTGAAATTGCTAAGCTATCGCAGTGAAATCGATTCTTATGTAGCCAGTTTCTCCTATTTTTAGTTAATTTTACAAATAGTACTCAACTTATAAAGTTAGTAGTATTGCGGTCGATATTCATCTGGGTATGCTCTCTTGAAGCGTGACCAACTTTATTGAGAAATACTGAAAGCGCTTTTCTCATCAGGGAGTTTGCTTTACCATGCCACTTTTCTAACCACCACAAGTTCTGTCAAACGCATTTTTTCTACTCGAAATCGCTTTGGTTAATATGTTTCTTTTGTGTACCAAAGCCTTCTTATTTGATGCTGCCTTTAAATGTCCATATTAGTCGGTCTATCTTACATATATGAAATATTGACCATTAAATTAATCGTTTCTGCTACAGTAAAGAACAGTTGCCTTTTCTTCCACATTTACATAATTGAATTAACATAAGAAATGACTTCTATGTAGCAGATAATCATTTAGAAGAACCAATGTAGACAACTGGTAAAAGGTTCCTTGAGAGGTTATTTGTTTTGCCTTATTCAAGTATAGAACATGGCCAATACAGAAGATGTAGCCTATGATTGCTTTCAGAAAAAAAGTTAATTTAGAAGAGCGGAATCCAATGGAGGAGATTTCTAATTGCTTGGGTTTCTCAGCCGGTGTCGTACTTTTTGGTGATCGCTTTTGCTAAACCGTAATTGCTTTTGCGGTTCTTTTCAGCACGTGGGGGGCGGGGGGGGGGGGGGGGGGTTTTTTTTGCNTGTTGGGGGGGGGGGGGGGGGGGGGGGGGGGGGGAGGGAGTTTTATTTGCTGGTATTCTTGAATCGACTTTCATTCATTCATTTGAAGTCCTTTAAATGTACCATATCGCTATATGCAAATAGACTAGCACATACGTAATAGGGACACGGGATAATGTTTACGGTTTCTTTTGTCTTCATATATAAGCGAAAGAACAGCATAAAGTCATCCTTCAAAGAACATGAGCTTTTTTCGCCTTTGAGCAGGAAAGTTACTAAGTAATTTGTTATTTACAAAACTGAACAGATTTAGAGAAATCCTGAAATCTAATTCAAAATTCCATTAGCATTCTCCTTAAACAAGGTCCTTGAGATTCCAGTTAACTTTCATTGGATTATTCATGTCATTTCAGGTTTGATTGTATTATCTAGTGCTTTGAATTAACTTAATTTGATGCCAGGTTAATGGGTATGTAGTTGATAAACCTCTTTCTAAACAGGGAATAAAATAGTCTTTATAAGAGTATAAGATACCGAAATGACTATGCTAAAACTTTTATTTAAAAAAGGACAAATACGAATTCAAGGATTTTTTGAGTAAAGTAGTCTCCACTTCCCCAATTTCGCCTTTATTTTCTTTCTCATGCAATTTCCTTGTTAAACAATGCGCCGATCATAAATCACTAGTCTTATTGAGTGTGATTTTTCACTTTTACCACCACTTATCATGTACCAACATATTTTGAAATTTTACTGTCTGCGAGCTGCATGGAATTGGGATTGAGTAGGTAGTTGTGCTTCGAAGCACTTCTAATGCTTCAACAGTTGTCTGGAATGGAATTAGGCGCTGAAATATGAAGACGTTCCAATTTAAAGTGCAGCTCGAATGACGAATGCTCCGCCATCTTCATTTAGGAAGCCTTAAAATGTTCGAAAGTCACTGAGAATTGGTGACGGATTTACACAACAAAGCTGTTTGACTTGCTTGGTATTATAGAAAATCTGGAATAAAAAGGAAGGCCCCTTTGTCACCAACATGTTACACTTTGAAGCAATGTGAGTTGAAATTGGTCGTTCTCTTAATGGTCGAAATGTTTTGCTTATTCTTAGAGTACCTCCAACTTCCAACTTTTTATCAACTTTTCTTTTGTGTCTGTTCATTTACACGGATTGGTGTGTTGCACAGCTTTGCTTTCCCGAAAGATATTTCTCCATTTTTCGATGTTTATGTCAGTCTGTTAGTACTTCACTTTTGCTATTAATGAGAAATGGCTATGCTAAGTGTGCAATAAATTGATTTAACATTGGACACGCTGTCATTCCTATGTCACATTTTCAATTATGTTAACTTACATCCATGAGAGGCGAAGTAATTTCAAAGTTTTGGCAACATGTTTGCGCCACACTGGTCAAAATTATTGATAGTCATGTGTGAGCTAAGTTTCATGTCCCAACAATGAAATAGTACATAGCTTCTCTAGAGTTAATACTTTTACTGCTTTTTAATTACTTGATCTTATCTACTTGAACTAGCATTTAATTATAATTTCTAGTAACTTTAAAGCTTTCATTAATATTTTTGTTTATTTGACTGGTTTTAGGACCCAGTCCTTGTATTGCATAATTTTACCCGAGTGTAGTTAGTAATGGGCGTGTCATATTTTTCCATCTTCCTTAGTTACACTTCCTCGTAACCCACCCACATTTAATGGTACGTTAGGTATCTCCACTATATTATATTTGCATGTGCCTTAGATGCCCAGGTGTATCTTGCGTTGTTTTTTTCCACGCACTCAGGTCAACGTTTTTTTGGATCTACTACTCCAGTCCGTACGGTGATGTTCGTGAATGCGCTCCACTTGAAATTGCTGTTTATGTCACATTGCGATGACTCACTTCATGTATCTCTCTTTAATTGCTCTTTTAATGTCATCTCTAAGTGGAACGTCTCAATTTCGTTCTTATCGGGTTCTTTTTTTCTTCATTTAAGAATTAAGTTCTTTTGGCTCATTGCTTCTTTTACACCTGGTCTAATAAATCGGGATAATGCAGGAAGAGCTCCTATTTGCTAAAAGTCCTATCAATATGGAGAAAGTGAAATTATTGGCACTTTGCCTATTCTTTTAGATTATTCAATTTGAGTTGTAAAATTTTATTGGATATTATAAGGCAAATTGAGAGAGGGAGAGTGGGAATTAGGAAATAAGCGTATTCAAATCTGCATTTAAGAAAAAATACTAAAATTAGCTCATAGTAACCAAGAAAATTAGTTTCTGGCCACAATTACCCCTCTCAAAATTCTACAAAATAGGGTAGTATTGACCATCACTTCAATGAAGCCGTATTTTGTCTTCCTCTCCTCTTAGAAAGTGTGATAATGTAGGCTCTGTGTTTGCGTATCAAAATCACATTTCATTCACTCATCCTCAATTATAGTGTAACCCTCTAAATTTGAAGAAACACGAAGATGTAAAACTATTCATCTACTTTTACTTAAGCTTCTATCTCTATTCCGCTTTGGTATGAAACAATTTAATGGAAATCATTTCCAGTCTGCTTGTTTCACACACACACTATTTTCTATATATTGCATCTCAGAACACTTTAGCCAAAGTGCATCCACGTTTTTTCCCGAGTTTATATCACGTTGGAGTAGCGACGGACCAAGTTGTAATTGCATTTAGTAACTTTCCAAATCTTATTTTAAAATTTTTAATCCTTGTTTAACTGTTTACTTGTGCGTATTTTCATTTTTGTTAAATTGTCACACCAATGTTGTACTTGGGTGGTTTTTTCATGCTTTTCCTGGGCTTGTATTTGTCCAAAAATCAGACAATCACCTACGTAGATTATAATGTCCAACTTAAAGTTGTTTATCTAGAGCTTATGCCGATCCTCCTATGGTACTATTTAATCTATGAACCTGATTATTTAAGAGACGTAGTAATCCACTCCGGCTTAATCTCATCTTTTTCTTTTTTTATGTAGTTCAATCACAACGCGAAGCGGATATTTCAGAGCTGCAGAAGGCGTACGATGCACAAGTTAGTTGCGTCCAACTACATTTTTTCACTTTTGGCCCTAAAATGCTGCCTTTATTGCTGCAACCTTGCTTCCCATACGCCATGGCATCATTTGTGTACAAACGAGTCGTTGTGGTCCAATCATGTGATTGCTTGGCTTAGCCAAATTTATCAATTTCGACTTCTCGCCAACCAATCCGGTGGCGTCAAGACTCAGTTTTATTAGCTACTTGATCTGGTTCAAATTACTCCTCCCAAATGTCAGTGTTGTACTTTATTTATCTGGTCTTGAGACAAATTTAAATTCTCCTTAAAGGTTTCCTGATTCGGATCATTCTTCAGAATTACGTAAATTTTAAATGCGGACTAGAACCTACTCGATCATACGTAGTTTATTTGAATTAATTTGAATCACAACTTTTCAGAATTAGTGTTTTTAATGGTCTTAGCATTGCAGAATTATCCTCTCTTTTAGAAGTGGTTTTTTTCTGGGTATTTGAATGCCAATTGATGTAGTTATTTTCACTTTAACGGAAATCAGTTTGGTCAGTGATATACACAGCAAAAGGAAATGAGCAGAGATGTCGCAATATCTCGGCGGTCATTAAGGGGACTTAAGCTTTCACTTTATGTTTTTGGATGCGCCAACCTTATCTTGGGCACTTCAAGCATAGGTTGGTTTAAAGTTCATTTTAAATATAAACATCGTTTGGTGGAAAGTGACCTTCATCGACCCCTTTTGCTAATTACATCTCATGCTATACTTCAGTAATGATTGAATACTCTTGCCCCATTTTTCAGCTTGCTGAAGAACGAAAAATCTGGGCAACAAGGGTTGCTGAATCTCATAACAAGATTTCAGCGCAGCTAGATCAGCAGCAAATTGATCATGAAACTCAAATGGCAGGTGTGTATTTCAATTTTTACCTTATTTTAAATTGAGTAGCTGAAAAAAGACTCATGGAACATAGAACTTTTGTATATGAAAACAAGGTCATCTATTTGCTCTTGACTATACTCAAAATAATTCTATGAAATGTATGAAGCTTAGGAGGGTATCAAAATCTAGACCCACCTTGGGTTTTTTTCCCTGATTTCTTGAGACGAAGCTTGAAAAGGGGCATCCGTTTAGTTATATGATTTAGGTCTCCAAGTATTCTAAAAATTATATTGCTTTTATTTCTCACTACAACACTAGAATTAGAACAGAAAATGGTTTGCGTAACCTTTAGCGATAGACGATGGGGGATGGAATGATATGTGGTTGTGGTGGCGAAATGTTGGCGGCTGCGGCTGTATGATAAGAATGATGACATTAATTATTGGCAGCACCTTAGGACATATTTGTCAGTGAAAAGGACAACCGTAGAAATTTGGAGAAATTAGTGTCTAGCACACTGACTATAGAAGCTTAGAGCCTTAATGGGTGCAAAACTCTATTGTTTTACACTTCGCCTTGAATCCAGTCTCTTTGAGTGAGAAATTAAAGACTTACATCAGCCGAATAATACGCAAGTTAGTATATAGACAGTTGAAGGGAATAAAATTTCGGTGTGAAAATAATTTAACAGCTTATCCACTTCTAAGTCCTCACTACCAAATGATTAGCGCTCTCATGACTACCTATTTAATAGTAAGGCAAAAGTATTTACTTCCCTTCTTGTGAACTTATTGGCACTATCACCAATTCTACTTCGCTTAAATTAACATTTTCAATGGTATTTTTGGAATGTTGACCATGAAAATTCGCTTTAATGTAAAGTAATCGCACATTGAGTGTTTTGTTTGGCTGCCAAATTTTTATCTTAACTTTATTTTATACCTTATTAATTTTTCATTGTATGTACACTTGCATGCTTCCTTACTGACTTGGTATATTTTTATGTCTTCCGGTTTCAGACCTCAAGCGTCAAAACGCAGTTCGTGTTAATGAACTGGAAAGTCGTCTGAAATCAACTGAATCAGAACTCCTAGTAAGTTACCGGTTTTTTTAATTATGAGGGTTAAGTTGAATATTATTTATTAACGTGGTGTTCAAGGCTCTATCAAGTTGTAAATCTCGGACATTTTGCTGTTCGTTTGGTAATATAGATTAAGATAGTCGAGGAATCCCTATTGCATCCTTAACGGTGATCCACTTCTATTGTCTTCCAAACGCACCGGAAGCGATTGCTTGTTGCGTCTGATTTTTTTGGGTTATGAGAATTTCTAATTTTATTAAGTCTTAATTTGTCTTCCTTTAAGAATAGCGTAAACGATATTTACATTGCATGAATTTATTATTGCTTTGTAAAAAATATTTCCCTGTTGCCTTTGCTTTTGGTCCTGGGTTCCCTTCTACCACATTTTTCTTTTTTTTTGTCGAAAAATATTTGGTTCCAAGTTTTCATCTGCGCAGACTTCAACAGGCTTTAGAACTGATCTTATTGGGAGCATAAATTTGAGGTTGTTCACATTTCCTTCTCATCTGCTTACTAAATACCTTTGTTCAAAAGGTTTATTCTGTGGCTTGTATTTCCCTCTTTAGCAGAAGGAAGAGGGTTGTTGTTAAGACTATTGATTTGATTGCCTGGGGGGGGGGGGTAGTGGTCCCTTCGTGTTGCAATATTCCGTAGACAAAACTCTTGTGACAGTGGCGAAAGTGTTTTTTTTTGTTTACACTGTTGCACAAAACTCTATTTCCTCTTTAGAATGTACAGGTTTCACACTCTGCTTAAATTTCAAAATGCCTCCTTTAAGCACAATTTGTTGTTAATTCTCTCTGTCTCTCTCTCTCTAATTACATTTTCATCATTTGTCAATTACAGCGAATTAGATTGTTATGGCCTCATTCTCGCCGTGAATTTGCTCAGTCACCCGCGTGCTTTGAAGAAGATTATCATTTGCCTTCGTTTTTAGCTTGAGCTCACCTTGTAGTGAATGGTAAAGGCGAATGCTGCTACTAGCTAGGAATATCCTCGAAGAGTAAATAAATTTTGCCTTACGAAATTTGGCTGGACCATCCAAAGTCGTTAAATTTATCAGCCTACACTCTATCCTCCTTTACAACTACGCAGATATTATCTCGTTTATTGAAAAGTAACATTTCTTAATTGTGACACAATAATTTAGAATTATATTTAATGAACTCTAGAGCTCGATTGTATGCCTTTATACATTACATAACTTATCGCTCATAGTAACTAAACGATTAGTCAGATTGAAGTATAAAATTGACTTTAGCTGCCATATCAAACACAAGTCTATTGGCAAAATGTTAATTTTTTCCTATCATCCTTCTCTCAATCAAATATTAATCGATTTTTGTTATACTATTTACTGAACGTACACTGGCTTCTAATTTGACGGAAGTGTTCACTGATTCTTACGTTGCCTTCGTACATCGCTCAGGGTTTTACAGTTTCATTTTTAAGCGTTTTTATTATATTCCCATTCTTAATCCTAATAAATATAATCGTCGTGAACTTGATATTCCAAAGTTATACTCGCTATTTTTACTTTTGGATGATAGTTATTTTACTTCTTCTTAACGGCTTTAGTTAAGGAATGATTTTGTTATTTGCAGTGATACTTCTAATAGAAGAGATGCTTAAACTAGGTTTGTACCATTACTCTCCTGAAAGCCTGACAACTCATTTATGGAATGCGTAATGATGAAGAAACAAGACACTTTGTTTAAGATGTTTTAAAAGTGACAAAATTTAGTAAATATTCCTTTGCTTGTTTCGGGATGGCAGTTTCGATCTCGCTACATTTTTTCTTCCAGTTTGTTTGATTCCACTGTTCATTACCTTCTATTTTATATTTCAATAATCAAAAAATTTAATTTAATGTCTTAATTTTCCTTTAAGGGCAATCTTGAACGTTTAACCACCGAGTGCAATGAACTTCGAAAAGCCGCAGCAGAAGCTCGCGAGAGAATCTCTCCAGAATTTCAAACTGTACAATTTCCTTCCTCTACCCAACCCGCCATGTGCGACTTCTCTGTAAGTCATTTTCAGTCGTGGCACAAGCGAAAATCCACCCTGTACAGTTGTAACACCACCCGCTTTAAGTAGGGAAGGTGTCTGCACCTATTCTTATGAGAAATTTCCATTTCACCATCCCTCTTGTTTATTTGAAATTACCGACGCAGTCGACCATCTAAGTAATTGGACATTTACCATTGAACATTAATCTCGTGACCGCTGACCTGATAGGCGTGCAAGTTGATCGCTGCGGTACCGGGGCACAAAATTGATTTACACTTAAAACCGTTTCATGCACTTTGCTCCGAATCTGATTCACCATGATCTTATGCAGATATTTTCCTTCGCATTCAGTGCACGTTAACCATTTACGCCGACATTTTAAGTGTGGACACCGTTTTTCTGCCTGCTAGTATTTCCAACTTTGCTACCAATTGCTTAGTTAAATTCATGCTATGTGTTAACATTGGCTTTCCACATTCTGTTCGCGTCATTTTACGTTCGATTTTGCGCACTAAATCTTTCAGCCTTATCCGGTTGGTTGCTAAATCGGTCCTTTGCAGCTCCTTGTCTATCTGTTTTTCTTTTTATTGCTGGTATTTTCTTTTTTCTAAACTGCGCATTTCTTTCTCTTAAATGATGTAAAATGGGATAATTAAATCTCAATTATAGAGCCTCAGCTAGCTCTGAAGTGGGCCATAGGTACTTACCATGAATATGAATCGACTATTATTATTTACGGCCTTGAGAGCGATTTTATACCTCTTTGTAATGAAACTCAAAATAGTTGGAAGCAATGGCAAAGGAGCTCGGGTAGAGGGCATGGAAGTTGGTGAATAAAACCCCGTTTTAATTGTTCAGCTATGGGTCATTCGTGGGTTTGTGGAATCAATTTTTCCAATTGTCTACTCTTTTCAAGCCCTTTTACAAAGATTCCATGACACAGAAGTTCCTCACTCCTCTTCAGTCAGAACCTTTCAATGGTGCCTGGTATTTGCTTCAGTAGGTTTCAACGTTAAATATACTGGCCGATTATTACATGATGCATTCATATGCAGTTGTCTTGGCCAAAATTAATAAAAATGTATGATTAATGAATTGACTCCTCATAACCGAATACCAACACTAATGACGTCATTTGTGGAACCACCAGAATGGTTTTCTTTCTTTGCCATAACCGTGACCTGGAACAATTTTAAATGTCGAAACTACGAAGGGGGAAAGTGGCTTGTGGTAATGACATTAATGTATCCATTTGCTAAAATTTAGATCTACGCTTACCTTACTTAAAGACAAGTATTGCTAAGATTTCGAAACTGTTGCGAAAATTTCGTCATCATAAAATTGTCATTATATTCCTTTTTTCTTTATATTCGAATTTGTGATTCGACGCACCATAATGGTTCAGTACCTAAATAATTTTAAATAACGTTTTCTCTGAAGATGTTTTATATGATTTCCTACTTTCAAGTCGATTATGCACAACTGTGCATAAATATTACACCCCCTTTTCCAAGTAACTTTTCGATGTTTGGCCATTAGAACCAGTCCTCTCAGTCCCCTCTCTCTACAATACATAATTTCTTGCTACATAAAGCCTCGACTCATATATTTTACATTTGAAGCCGTTTCAGCTCTAGTAGTGTTGCTTGCTGCAGAATGCCTTCCTTGACTCAAATTCTTTTCGGACATCTGTGCATAGAGCGCTTGCGTGAAACTCATTTCAATGCAAGCTTTTGAAAACTGCCGACGGTATTTATATTGTTGCAAAGCATGTACGTTGTGTTGGCTACTGGCAAATTGGGAATAAAGATTAGGTACGGGGTATTCTAGATCAGTAACACAGCTATCAACGTTCATCTCGGAAGTCACGAGGTTAATGCCCATCGTCTCGGACCCGGTAATGTGGACTACTCAAATTAATACAATGTGAGTTTCTCAAAGAGGAACATCCAAAGATGATTCATGTAATCAGATTACTGAGTATACTGGTATTATTATGACCATGTATTCGTTTTTTGGCTTTAATCGGTGGTTTAATCGTCGGTTCAAATTCTAATATAACATTAGTTCTTCCTCTTTAAGCTTTGTTTCCTTCTTGGTTTAAATTTTTATTTTACCCAGTTGTGCATAGCAGTAGTCCATTTCCTGCGCGGGCAAAATCCTACTGTCAGACTTAGTTAAGTCCTGGCTACGGTGATCAGCAATTCCACTTGTTCATCCAAATTCAACCTGATTCCAACTTTAGAAAATACGAAGGGGAACATTGCTTCATATTTAATAGCCTTCACGGTTTTGAAAAATTTAATCTCTCTGACTCAAGGAGTGTCCTTTGCAATGTATATCATTTACTATTTCATCTGCTATGCTTTCGATCTTGGCAGAGCTTTTTTTTCATTTGAAAAGGTCCAGTTTGTTTCCATGCTTGAGTAGGGTGTTTCACTTTGCTCAAAAGTCTACTCATCTTTCTTAAGCTATTTTCGTGTTTGTTTTGTGTGTGTAGTTGACCTCTGCGACAATTGTGTTAGCTTGTAGTGGTGGTGGGTACTCATTGAGTGCAAGCTACACAATAGAGTTGGTTATTGATTTTTGGAGATATTAATGATTATATGCTTACTGTTATAACATGCACTCATATTTCAAAATTAGATTTGAGTTTCAGCAATTGTTGATGGCTGGGTTAACATAGACTCTTAAAGTAATGGAGAATTGAAGGCATCTGATAGGAACTTATTTGAAGAAATTATGCACTTATTGACTCATTTTTTTATATTTTGGTGCAATTTATTCGATCTGAAGAGCAACACTCAGTGAATGATAACACACAAAAATTCACTATTGTATTAACTTATCTTTTCGATCAAAATTCTCTTCACCACTATATCACTACAAAATGCATCCCTCGGCTATACCATATATACATTTGCCATTGCGGAAGTGATTTCTCTTTCGATAACTCTAGCAAATCTACTGATGTCGCGTTCCACATTAATGCACAGATGGGATAATCGCTCTATACCATTTAACTTGTTTGCGTGTTTATTCTAAATGTAAAGCCCGCCGAAACGGGCAACTATTGTATTACTTTGGATTTCTTGCTGATCTAATGCCATCCCCACCACCCTATTTTCTTGCCACGTGTATTAATGTTACTTGATATCTCTTCACGATCTTATTTACATTTATAGCGTCTCTATTAAAACGTGCCCCTATTTGGTGTAATTTCTGTTTCTTTTGCGCTGTCAGTTTGGCATTCCCACTTCTCTTCCTCTATGCGCATAATATTAACTTTTTTCTTACATCAAGTGGTTGCACTTTACTGTTCATTTCCAAAATCCGTGTTTTTTCTCTGCTTTTGATTTGATACCGATTATTACCCTACTGCGATCTTTCTGTCCTGATCGTTCTTAATATTGTGTTTAGGTGGTAACTGAGAATTCCTTCATTTTTCCCTTCTGTGTGACCTGTACTCCAAATTCTAAAATTGTACAGTTTGGGAATGATGGATTCTTTTGATTAGTACACGTCTTCCGACTTAAGGTCTCTCTTAGTTAATTATTACTAAACAACTTCCTTCTTCGGACGCTATAAGTAAATATTTTCGATGTTATATTACGCGCCCCCCCCCTTGCCATCAGGTATTTGACAAGTTTATCTTGCCAATAGTTCCCCCTTAACCTTTTCTTCTTAATAAATTTTAAATATTTTGCAGCTTTTTATGACTGTATGCAGAAAGTGTATCTTGCTTGACAGGTGCAGATGCCCGCCTCGGCAGAGGAAGATGAGGAATTTCTTCTGGCTCTCCAGGCACAAAATCGAGAAAACGGAGGGTTGCCTAAGCAGCCCTCCTCGGCTTTCAACTTCGATGATATCCCCATTTCAATGACACGCTCTTGCTATATGCCACAGACGAAACCGCAGGTTCGAGCGTCGTTCTATTCTCCGGGACCAACTCGACTCAATAAACAGTCTCCTTTAAATGCAACTATGCCTGTAAGTTCCCTTACCCCCCCCCCCACGCCCTCCTTTTCCGTTTACGTGTTTTTTTTGCATTTGGTATTATGCTCTATATTTTCTCGATAAATTTCATATTTATTGCTCTTCTGCTCAGAGAAATTTCGTTACAACTTCTGTTGCTTACCATTGATTTCGATAAACATTGCGTTTACGTCTAATAAGGAAACGCCCATCTTAATTTCGGAGATTCTCCCTCACTAGTCTTCTATTTGAAAAAAACAATGCTAATGAATGTCTTGGGAGGGTCAGGTGTTTCCTGCCAACTTTGGTTCGGAACAAGGCAAATTTTTTTTGCTTAAATAAATTTTTTTCACGTTTGATCTTTATTTCACGTCAGATTCTGTTTTGCTTATGAATGGAATGCCTTTTCCTGTCCTTTAATAAGTTCGCATAGAGCATCTTTCATCTGATGCAATAAGAAGTTCTTATTTTTCGATCCTTGTAGGAAGTGGATTTAAATCAGCATCTCATAAAATTGATCGAAATGCAATCTTAGTGGATGCATCTTTATCAATGTTAATTAAGCTAACTTAAAGTCCCTTGACAACGATTAGTTTACCCCTATGGTGTATCGGTTAACAGGCACGTTTACCGTCCCCTAAGACATACACATGACTCTTGATTTAGGAAACTATCCCGTAACTCCAACTACTGCTACTAAGTAGCTACGATGATCATTCCGCTTTGCGGTTTCGCAAATGCTAATAATTTGATCAAGTATGCTAGATACTGTTCGCAAACCTTTAAGTAACATGACTCAGCTTACCTCTTATTTTAGTGCACGGACGATTCCACTCTGCCGGAGGAAATTGAAAGTCTTAAAACTGTTCTTGAACTCAAATCTTCAGAAAATGCTGACCTTCGGCAGAAGGTCATGAGGCTGGAGGAACAAGTGAGTAATCTATTCGCGTCTTCTTGTATTGAAGACTAAAGGATCGCCAGTATTGTGGCCTACTAGATCCCGGAGGAAAATAAGTCGGAATTGGAATAAATTTTGCATTGTCGGATAGTGGTTGGGGTGGGGGGGGGGGCGAGGAGGCAGAGATTTGCAATCACTAAGTTAATGAAGTGGCATGGCTTTGAAAGAACTCAAGGCACTTAAATAGATGAGTGTGATTGAGTAAGAGCAGCTCCACCATCTGCACTATCGAGTCAGACAAAATCAGTGAGTTGATAATGTTAGGTATGCAATGTTGTCACCAAGTATTTTTATTCCAAGTTTATGACGCAATGATAATGTTAATATTAAGTTTGTTCACTGCAGATGTCTGAAAAGGACTATTTAAAGTAGAATTAACAGCTGATCAATGTTAACTCAAACGAATGAATAATGCCTTAATAGGAATGGATTTGAATTAGGGAATTAAGTGTTGTTATTTAGACTGAATTCTTCACACTTTAGTCGTAATTGTCTGATATTTCCCCAATGCCACATATGGGTGGGATTGGAGGGGAGGGGAGGGGGGGGGGTAGCGTTTTTTAAGGTGCGTTCAGATTTAAGAATCTAATAGCCTAATTAAAGTCTTCGATATGCACCTTTATGTGGAATAAAAAAATTTCATATGACACAATTTTGTTGTTTGTAGCTAATGAGTGCCAAAGACTTAACCAAAGAGATTAAGGAGTTGCAAAATAAGAATGAAAACTTGGGAGCCCTACTGGAACTTCGTGCAGAAAGTCAAAAGTAAGTAATCCTAATCACTGTATAAAGTTCAAGCACTTGCTTAGATTCTATTCCAGGAAGGATGCAACCCAATTAGCATCTTGTTTTGATCTTGAAAGCGCTTGAGTAGCTTTATCTCTAAATGCGTGGGTCCTTTTTAACACGTGTTTAAAACGTTTGTCCTTCCTCTCGGTGAACGCTTAATTTTCCTCGCTTCCTCCCATATATATCCTTGTTTCTCAATTTTGGCAATGAAAATTCGTGAGAATTCTATCTTCGTTCACTTTGTTTCAGAGGCAGGACTTTGCCTGAGAATGTATATATTGTGATTAATCACACTTTTGCATTTCACACTTACTGAGTGTAATTACATTTAATTTTAATCTAGCTAAAATTATCAACTTTCTTTTTTTTGTCTATAATGATTTTGTTATGACTTCAAATGCAGCGTTATCACAATTTATCAGTCGTCGATGTTTAGTTTTTTGGTGTAGCAGTAACAATTATTGTCCAGTTATAAGAATAAGGTACCTCTGCTGTCCTCGTTTTTTTGGGATACGTCCAGTTGAATTTTGAGATGGATCTGTTCTTAGTTGTAAATCGCAAAATCTCCGAATGTGTCATCGTTTCAGTTTGATTTGTTCTCTAGTGCTATTCACTATTCAAACTCAGCTTTTGCCATATTCTATTTTTTATCCTTTCAATGTTGTCAATCTCTGCCAGTGCTTCTCTTTTGAACGAGAAACATAATCCTTGCTTTAATCCTGTAGTCACGTGCCTTCGCTTGCAACTAAGAGCCCGCATCTTTCGTACTGGCATTCGCTTCAACTGGGGAAATTCGTGAAGCTTGTTGTTTTTTTTGTTCCAAAATTCTTACCGTAAAAAGCTGTATTTTTCCTTTCAATCTGTCATTAAATGCGCATTCCTACTGTGGGGGTCGTCTGACATTTTGCTTAAAGAAGGAATGGGCTTGACTTCGTGACAAATCCCCCTTATGCATTTTTTCGAACACACCACTCCATTCTGCCCAGTTCTAGTCTATGCAAAGTTCAGTTGACATTACTGCGAATTTACATGCGTCGCATAATTGGTCCTTTTTATAAATGGCTATTTCGTTTTGTCATTCAGTAATTTACACCAGTGCAAGGTTAACTAAATTCATTGGCCAGTAATATTAAGCTCATTCGAGACAATACCCATATGGTGTGGCAAATGTGTTCCACTAGTGATAAGATGTCGAAGTTTTTAGAAATTTGGAATAAAAAATTAAAATTTATTTAAACTGCCTTTACTGCTTAAGTTTAGAACTATAATTGGGTTGCGAATAGCTAAGTGAAAATAACTATGATTAATCTAGAGCTTAGCAGTGACAAAATTAATGAAAATAAAAACAGCTCCATAAGTTCTTTTTTCATTCATTTTTTTTCGAAATCGGCAACAACTTAGCCTCATAAATATGCAATTTATGTTAAATTTTTTGTATCTTGGAAAGACTATAGTATTTTTGACTTAGTAGTAGATTAACTTTTGACTAACGTCTGTGAAAATATTTTGCACCTGGCTAGATGGTAGAACATGTTAGAACTTTCATTAAGTGTACGCTGTGAATTTCTACAATCATTTTGATGATCTAATGATTTGTTACTAATTGAAATGGCTTAATCCCTTTTTTATTCTTTCATTAAAATCAACCGTAATAAAGAAAAGTAATTCGATTATTGAAGGTTTTGCAATGCCGAAAACTCCCAAGTCTATTTAGGAAGTCATTTTCCAGTGCTCATCTTGAGTATAGGTGCATCTTGCTGTCCTCTTAGCGAGGAACTCAACCTTTGTCACTCTTAACCAATGGGATTGTCCATTCCGATCACTGGATGTGTACGCCAATTGGAGCCGAACCCGTGGTCTCTTGCATGACCTACGAGAATGGCGACAAATGCCCCATTGTGCTGTACGTTGAAGGTGGCGTAGATTTATGAAGTTTCTGTGAATATCTGCGTTTACGTATTGTTCTTTTTATTGATGAGAGGAAGACTTGAAAGATATTCCAAACTCTTAATAATTTGTTAATTTGGAAATTAAAGGGTTTATGTTGCCCTCTGATATGGTACCCATTTTAATTATCTTCATAGTTCTGTGAATGTCTCGCTTCTTCATGAGTTTGCGTTGTTGTTCAAACAGATCTTAGTATTGAGAAAATTCTTCATTTAATGGGTTTATAGTGACACAAACTGACTTGCATTTTGTTTAAAGCCGTTTACTTATATTACGAGTGCTACTTAAATTAATTTAAGTAACAATGTTTTATCCTTCATAGGCAACTCCAAGACAGATATCAAGGCGTGTTCCACAATCTTGACAAGGAGATAAAGGAGAAAAAGAAGTTAAAGATGGAGTGTGAATCACTTCGTTTCAAGCTACTCGATGCTCATCATAGGATTGAGCAGATTAATGCTGCAAATGCAAGCGAAGATGAAAGTGCTTCCATGACTGAATCACTTTATATGAACAGGTATGTATCTAGAACATTCTACTCCTAGTAACGTGCTCCACTCTTTCCACACTAGTCATAAACTCACTTTGCGAGGAATTTAACTAATAGACTCTGGGTATAAAAAAGGTTTTTCAATTCAATTTTATACAGGGTTTCATAAATCTTTTACCCTTCCTGATTGTCTAGTAATGCTAAATTTTGCTAAGTTCGCATCTTTTAAGGTCGAGAAATTGTGAAGCCATATGAACATGAAAATACTTTGCATCAGTTTTCAATAATTAGTTATTCGTGTTACCTTCAAATACTTTTAATATTGTAGACGGCGTAAATTTCCGTATTTTCCAACTGATTTATTCAGCCATTAATGTCATTTGCTAACCCATTTATGTAAACAATTTGAAATTTTACTGATACGTTCTTGCTTTTGAGCTGAAGATAAAGTTCTATTTCGCATTCTATGTTCTCACGAATGTTAGATTTGGAAGCTATAAATCTGCTGTAATTGCTTAATGTACACAAACTTAGTAATAAAACGTTTGTTTTGTATATTCTGACTCGTACAAATCTATGTTAGAAATTGGCAACGCCTTGAAAAATGTACAAATTGAGGAAATACTTTGGCAGTGCTTAAAATGGGGAAAGGAGGGTCAAATTGGGCTGTATGATTAAGTCTTGGTGTCATCAATCTTGCTTTAGATTTTGATAGCATCGTTTTGGGACCATATTTTCGAAATGGATCTGATTAATTTCTTAATATTTATTTGTTTCGAAGTTCTATTCGCTTCGTTCAATTCCTGAGCTTTTGCATGAGTTTACTACGCCGATATTGAGAGCTTAATCCTTTAATTGCGTGCTTGCTCACATCGATTGCACTTATTTGTTTATTCTAACATCCGTGAGTAAGTAGAGAGGCCATTTTAAAGCAGTGGAGTACCCTGAAGTTCACCCTAGGTGAATTCTTGTGTTATAACGCCTGTGTAATCTATATAGCTTAATATACGTTGGTGTGAAATATTTGTTTTAAACTCTGCTTACTTTTCTATTTGCTTTACAGATCTGTTTACTCTGATGCTCGAGTTACTAGTAGCAATTCAGCAATTGGACGTGGATCTCGACCGGTCTCTGAAACTCTTGAATCTTCCATAACTGAAGCAGAAGACCACTTTCCAGCAGGCTCCTTCATCGCCTTGGACAGCCGACCTGCCACGAGTTCAAGACGGGTGCGTCGAGGCCTCATGCACGATCGGACCAAAAGACGTACACTGGCTACCGCAGATGAACTTCAGCGTTGAGCTTAATAACAATTTTACTCTCTGTTCTGTTCTCGCCATATTTTACATATCTCCTTATCGTAACCCTGTAAATAAACACGTATTTGAACATTTGTTGGACGAATCACACGAATTTTATGTTGACCCCATTATATATGACAGATTATTAAAGTGGTGGCATTTGTGAGTTGACATTTCTTTATTTTTTCGTGGTGAAAAGGGTGTCTAAAACAAAGAGGAAAAGTAAATCAAGCTTATGGAATCATACTGGGTTTTTGCACTCATTAATGCCTAAGTTCTGGAGCATACGGAGCTTTCTCAAATATGGAGTGGTTTGGGAATCAAAAATCACGGCATATATTCACGGTAGATACATTCACAGACAAATTTCTCTCTAAATTCAAACGCCTTATAGAAGTATTACAAATTTAAAGGACTCGCAATTTGAAAGACTACGGGTAAATGAACAGAGAAATTAGGTAGAAAAGGAGTCTTTGAAATGGAAGAATTTTCATGCGTCTGATCTGATTCTAACGCTTAGAATGGCATAAAATACACCAACTATGATAAGAAAAATGTGAGGCAGTATCACACCCATCTAAAAAAAGTTAAATCAATTTGAACTTAAGTTGTTTAAAATAGTCCAAATTTGGGTACACTAAAGAGAAGAAAGTGAACTTATTAGTCAATAGTAAACTCACCAGAACAATTGATCATCCACAACTTATTCAATAAAATGTACAATTCAGGCACAGCTTTTCTTCAGCTGTAAGGCACGTTCATTAGTTATGGTTTTTAAAGAGCAGGATTAGGAAAATTGAAATCGGAAGTAATCGTTATCTAATCGCTTTCAAATTTAAAGTCGAACGAACAGGGCGCTTCCATATATATTAATGACTTATTGGGTGTAAAAATATATAAGAATATCCTGAAAGGAACATGTCTTATCTAAATCGCGATGAGTTTTACCGTGCCCACTACAACCGTCTGGATAAGCAAAGGAGACATATGATGACAGAGGAAAGTCACAATTCAGATCAGTGTATCTCATGGGAAGGTCGTCATGTGACGAAAGCTGAGGCCATAGAACAACCAATCACAACTCGATCATTGCAAACAGCTATATTTTCCTAATAAAAAACGTCGTCAGATTCTACTTGTTCTTTAATGTGCAAATAAATTTTTGGTTCTGGTAATTTTTTTCTCCACTTTTTGTTGCAGGATGCATGTGTAACGATGTAAGATTTAGTCATCGCTAAACACATATGACTGATTCTCACAGAGCCCACATTTGATACTTTGTACTTGAAAGGTGATCCGTAAAAAGTGGATTGTGTGCGGTAAGTATCAGTGAGCATAAATATCCAAATGGTATTACCTTACTTAGAAAGTTAAAAAGCGTAAGCCCACTACGAAGTTACTAAAAGTATTAAAGCAGCTTCTGACATTAGGATTATTAAAGTCCTAACTGTACTAACTAATGGTTCATTTTTTATTCCAAGGGGCCCTGAGGATTTGCCAGTAGTATACCTGCGGAGGGCTGAAGAAAAGCGATTTTACAAATCATACCTAAGTTCTGGTTAACCAAGCAGGTTACTAATTCGTGGCAAGTAGAGAGTCATTGGTTATTGAATAAGAATTATTCATTACGTGCATATGAAATCTTCAAGTAATGTTTACTAAATCCTCGTTTTTTAAATGAAACTGATAGCTTCTGCAAAGTTAGATGTGGCATAGTGGAAAGTAGTTCAATCCTTACAGCAATAAAATGAACATGATTTTAATCAAAGGACGAAAGCAATTGAGTTCGTTAATATGAAAACGAAGTTATGTAAAAAATCTCATATTATATGCGAAAACCAACAGTTCTAACCTATCAAAATTAAATTTAAAATAATGACAGTTTTTAATAATTCGAAGGCCTAGAGAAGTCAATTTCTACATCCGGAATTGAGCTTTGAAGTTAACATTAATTAATTTCTTAAAAGAAGTTTGAATCAGGGTCTTAAACAGATCCTATTAATCTCATATCCAGGTATTCACGATTTTACCTTCTAAATCATATTTTGTAATTAGTGAGTGTTGATAAAAGTTAATAAGACAATAGCTAATGAATTCTTCTTCCTCCTTAGCAGAAACCCAGAGAGTGCGAACAAATTCTCTAATAACTTGTCCCTAAATTTCAGCTTCGCCTAAACCAGCTAAAAATACCTTTCAAGTTAATTAAATTCACTATAATATAGTAATGCTGCCACACCCTATGTCGGCCAATGAAATACCAAGGCAATATTTACCGTTGCCCGTGTGATTACCTCATTTCCTTTGTCGGAATGATACTTAGCTCTTTTATTTTAATTTACAACCTTGTTTCAAGAAGGCTAACTCACAGTTCCCAGGATTGCTGTTGTGGAGTCGCCTCATGCCAGCTTCTGGCCTTTTTCTTGACCTGCTGCCTAGGAGCAGTTGTAAATTTTTCTGGCATACGTTTATTGACAGATATATTTCATGATTTTTTTACGAAAGAACTATGAAATATGTCACTAATTATTTGTAAAATTTGCATATTTGTTTAAATGTGACCAAAATTGCAGAGTCGCTGCCTTGTGCATTTTTGCGGCAAAGCCTGCGTTTGAGGCATGTACTCAATTTTATTTTGGTACCTGGATTTGCGGCTATTCTGGAAACCGAATTGAACAAAAAAAGAATTTTCAAATGATCAAATTAATCTGCTAGTTCTTAGCCAAATTCAAAGCTGAATTCGTTTAATAGGCAATAAATGCGTTTGATCATTGATAAACTCCGACTTCGCATTAGCAAGTTTACCTATATTAGCCATGGTCTTATTATGCTGAACTTGTCTGACCGACTAAAAAGTTCATTTGAGTCACTCCATACCACCCACTCATATTGCGTTCATGGCATCATACACGTATCTAATTAAACAATGTAGTGAGTGGCATTGTGAAGTAGCCAATGCCATTGGAGTTTCGGTAAAGTATCGGTTACTAGGCCCTTGCAAAGACTGTGCGTTTTGTGATTGGCTTTTGTACTCAGTATATTTATTGAAGTCTAAGGTGCTGGTGTGAGTTATAATCGCTAAGAGAAAAGTACGGTTAGTTAGAGACTGAGTGAGAGGGCAAAGTAGATCGATTTACCTACATTTAATCAACTGAACAAAGATGAGTTTTGACGATGAACAACTGGGTGATCTTTATACCGCCTTTCCAGACCTTCAACGCACTGGATCTATTCCAGCAGATCAGATACGCAATGCTTTGGAAAAACTCGGATGTCCGGTAGCTGGACATGAACTGCGAGAGATGCAAGCGACCCGCAACAAGATTGGTTCCTTTTGTGATCTTGATGAACTTTACCAGATCTACTCAATAGCTAATGCAATGAAAATGGATGCTAAGAAAATTATGAAGGATGCCATTCTCAAAGGCATTCAGGAAGCCAAGGTAAAAAAAATAATTTAAACATTTTTTTAAATTTCTAAAATTAGGGGGTATTAATTAAAGCATACACAAATTTTGTTATATATTTTCATTATGATTTATAATTTACACTAATGATGACAACTAATTCATCATTTTAATAAATTCATTATACATTTCAGTAATTGATATTTTATTACAATAATTGACGTGATAGTACTTTGACTTCATCGGTATTTTTAAAACCTCCTTTGTTAGCGTTGACCGGTTAAGAACAGATGATAGGACAGATACCTTATAAACACAGCTTTTGTTGTAAACAAAGGCCTGCTTTGGTCGAGATCATTTCTAAATCACATCTTTAAATACCTTATTCAAGCTTAGTAAGTTAAAAAGATTAGCTGCCAAAATGACTCTAATTTCGAGAATTTAGAACATCCTTGTCAGATTTTAAACCCCGATTTTGTCCAAATCAACTACCATTCCAGTAGCAAAGTGTTGCAGCATGCGGGTTTTTACACTATTAGGTGATTTCTGGACTGACATTGAAGTAAATTACTCGGGAGCAATAAAATGGACATAGTTGCGCTAATATACTTGAATTTCAACTTAAGGAAATGGAGTTTTTTGGGGGCGTTTGTGGCACTTGAGAAAATCCACTATCACAAGGAAATAAAATTGAATCACCCATCATTTTGTTTATCACTTTAACAGACATACGACACGGACTTGGGTGGAAAACACACCGTGACAAAATCCGAGGAAAAGGCTTTCTCCAATTGGATCAATAAACATCTCGCCGGAGACAAAGACTGCGTAGCCTTGAACCTTATCCCTATTAATCCTGAGAATGATGGTGAACTCTACGAGAGATGCAAGAACGGCATCATTCTGGCAAAGATGATCAACGTTGCTGTACCTAACACAATCGATGATCGAACTCTTGAAAAGGGAGAATCTCTCAAAGCTATCTTTAAGGTATGTGGGTGTTCCATTATTCTCCCACCAAATAGTCATCATATGTGTTTTTTGAACCGTTAACTATTCAGTTAGCTATCTTATGAGCGTATAGTTAAGTATGATGCATACTTGCTACGTGTTTGATAAATGCATTCATATAGAGTCGTTAGAATTTTGGCAAAATCTATTAAGAATTCCATCATTTCTTTTTTAGATAAATGAGAACCTTACTTTGGTTGTGAATTCAGCTGCAGCAATTGGTTGTTGCATGGTGAACATTGGTCCAGAGGATATATCTGGTTGCCGAAGGCACATTGTTTGCGGTCTCATTTGGCAATTAATTCGCAAGGCTATTGTTGATACTATTACTCTAGCTCAGCACAGTGAGTTGGCTTCTCTGCTCTTACCTGGTGAGACACTGGAACAATTGGCCAATCTCAAACCAGAAGAATTACTCATGAGATGGGTTAACTTCCACTTAATGAATGCTAATAGTAATCGAAGGCTAACAAACTTCACTAGTGACATCTGTGATTCAGAAATCTACGCTCTTCTTATGGAACAGATCACTCCATTGGAGCTTCGGTCCAGATTAATCAGTTCTAAACTTATATTAGAAGAAACATCACTAGAAAAACGAGCTCAGATGGTTATGGAGAACGCAAAAATTCTCGATGCAGGAACGTTGCTTGTTCCTGAAGATATATACACTGCTAAACCAGGAAGCCATAGTGATAAACTCAATCTCGGTTTCGTTGCTACGCTCTTCAACATGTATCCAGGCATGGAACCACCAGGAGAATTGAACATTCAACCGGAAACACTAGAAGAGAAGACCTACCGAAACTGGATGAACTCCATGGGTGTTACTCCAATTGTCAGCAACCTCTACGGAAATCTCAATGATGGTCTTGTTCTTCTTCAGCTAATTGATATTATCCAACCTGGCACAGTAGATTGGAAGAAAGTGACAAAGACCTTTGACCCAAAGAGGGCCATTTTTCAAATGCAGTCCAATTGCGTTCTGGTCATTGAATATGCCAAGGTTCTCGGAATCAAGATTGTCAATATCAGCGGTGAGGATATTCGAGAAGGTGCCACCAAACAGATTCTTGGTCTTTGCTTCCAGTTAATGAGAGCATACACTCATAAACTCCTTATACAGGTAAGGCTTTTCAGCTTTTTCGTTTGTCTCCATCGCACATTTTTAAAAGCGAACCAGAAAGTTTGAATGGTGAATAAGAACATTACCCCTATTTAACAAGCTTGGAGACGAAGATACCGTAAAATACTCCTAGGTGTGGGCTAAATCTAGACCATAATTGTATTTAAGTTCTATGCGTTGGTAATCTCTGACACGAAGAGGCAGTATTAAGGTAAACGAATCGGTCCCATATATGAAACATCAGCCCTTTATACTTCCTCAATGTACCTAGAAAATATACCAACTCTTATTGTGCTTTGAATACCAGTGTAACAACTTTGGCAATACCCTACTTCTAAGCACCCCCTATCCCAATCGTTTTATTAAATTTATTTCGCTAAAAGAGATCAAATCTGTTTTAGGCAAGTGGTGGAGGAAGTACTGCTAAAATAGAAGATTCTTACATTGTGAGCTGGGCAAACGAGCGTTTGAAGAGCATGAGTGAACCGACTATAAGCTCGTTCCGCGATCAATCCCTGGCTAACTCCCGACCAATAGTGGCAGTTCTTGAGAGCATAGTTCCAATGGGTGTGTCGAGAAATATGCTCACAGATGACAATTTCTCCAACGCTGTCTATGCTCTTTCCTCATGCCGGAAAGCCGGAGCTCGAGTCTATGCTCTGCCTGAGCATATCTGTACTTGCAATCAGAAGATGATTATGACCATCTTCGCCTGTCTTATTGTCCTTTCTTATCAAGTCCAGGTTGTTACACCGGCCTCACTTTCGTGAAGTGAGAAGAAAGTCGAATTGGCTCTCCTAAGATGCAGAGTAATGTCTTTTCATTCCACTATCATCACTGCTAACTTGTCCCAACCTCCACTCTTCCTCATCCCTTGCCCACTCTTTTAATTGGAAATGTTGTTGCGTCCACCTTATCTCTTTTCTTTTGACGTCTTGTTATGCTGTGCGGAAAAAAAACATTACCATTTTTCTGATTACTATTTTACACGATTATGAGTGACTGAGCTAATTTTGAAGCCACCCTTTTGAGGGTTCAAATAAATGCAAATTAATTTAAGGATTTCCAAATTTTAATTTCACTTTCATTTAATGTGGCTAATAATTGTGCTTGTTTTAATGATTATAATCGCGTTATTATGAAAACGGTGTTTGTTATTGACCAATAATGAAATATGCATAGGTGTTAAAATAAGAATTTCAATTGCTCGATATCGCGCTAGTTAGGGGCTTTCTAAATATGCAGTAGGACACAGTTTCAATGAATATTGGATAACGAACGAAGGCTTGATTTGTGGACTTTGATATCCAATTAAAGTAAGATAGTAGCAACGCTGTGAGATTTGGCTTACTTTAATAGGCACCAATTTTGACAACACATGTTAACACACTCTTATCTCTATTCTAACCTCAAATTGACAAATTGCGATGTCTCTAAGACGGCTTTTAATCAACGTGTTTTCTTCCATCACTGGAATGTGGTCAAGTTGTAGATAAAGACAATGTTTGGAGTATTGAGGAAAAGGCATGCCATGATGTTAAACAGAATTTTTAAAAATTAAACACTTTAAATTATTAAGTAAATAATTGAAGCGACCACACACCTGCAACTTACCTCACCTTAAATATCTGTTCCAAACACTTCCTTCGTACAATTTCGGGGCAAACACAGTGGTCTCTATTATTTTAAAGCTAATCGACTGCTGATGTGTTACTTTTCTTTTGGATTATTATTACTATTATTGTCCCTGACAATGTCTGGAAGTTTCACTAGGAAAATAACCTACATTGAGGCTGAAAATGAGGCCGAATAGGTGAAAACCTTGCTTTATATATGAATTCTAGGGTGTGCGATAAACTTACCTCCACGTGGTGCACCCTGAGCTACGTATACTCATACGGCAAAAAAGTCTATTAACTGACAGTTGACTTTTGACTTCAAACTACCTCTGCCCCACTGTATGTCATATTCGACCCCTTTACAGTACTCATCTTACCTTTTTCTACCTTTGTGTCTGTCCCTTTTACATTTTTGAATCACTCTTCTGTCCCCCCCCCCTAGACTTTTTTCCCTTTGATGCTCCTTCTCCTCCCCTCTGTGAAGCCTGAAGTTAACAAAAGGACTAATGATAACTATCAAAACGCCTGTCATTTGATATAAATATATGATTTCTGGGGGCTATAAGTTGTTCATATTCCTCAAATGAGTTAAAGCCTCCAAATTTTCAAAAGTATACTTTCTATGTCTTGATTTTTCCGAGGTGTCTGTGATGTGATCGTGTCTATACCATTGAAGTTTATGAGAACTTTATTTACAGAATGCGTTCCACTGCCATTAGCTATTGAATGAGGCTAATAGAGAAGCTTTATTAATGTCGAAGATCATTTCGTTTTTTTGCACCCTCTAAACTATTAAACTGATCATCAAACTCTGGGTGGCGTAAACATTGGCAAAATCAATGAAAGAAGGACATTTCCAAAATTTATACACTGGAACATTAAAGGTTAGCTTTTCGCTCTGCACTGGAGAATTAAAATTTGAAGTATATATATTCATCAGCCAATGTGTATGAAATGCTGTCCATGTTCTGGGGTTAATTTTCATGATCAGTTTCCTTGTTTGTTTCTTAGTGCTTTGTAAAATAAAAGTACTTTGCTCGTTATGTCAAGTAGGTATTAACTAATGATAATTAGCGTAGGGAAAAAGAAGATATACCAATTAGAAACTCACAGGAATTACTAAAGTGGTTAATAACTGTGTCACAGAATGAACATTAGTCTGTATCAAACTCGTGATTTGGCCGTAGTAATAAAAATGGAACAAGTTCTGCTCGTCTTGATAAAGACTCAACTTGGTTTGCTACTCCATGTCACAGGCAAAATAAAATGAAAGATCATTTATTCACCTCAATCTATTGAAGGAAAAAAATAACTCAAGTAATTAGACAAATCATGTTAGGTTGAAAAAATAGTCACTGTAACCTAGTGGACAAATAGTGGACTTTGAGTTTTGAAACGTGCCCAATTTAGATATGTGCATCGATTTAATCACTCTTCAAGAGATACTTATTTAAGTATGCCAAAAGGCAGGCGTTTTGAATAGTTATCATTAGTCCTTTAGCTGACTTCGGGTTTCACAGAGAGGAGGAACATACTAAGTCACTAAAAGTTTGGGGAGGGGAGGCGAAAAAGTAATTCCCAGGTGAAATAGACAGACAGGCAGACACAAAGGCAGAGAAAAGGTAAGATGAGTGCTATGGTATTGGCGAAAAATGACATACAGTCAGGTCATGGTAGTTTGAAGTCAGCTGCCAGCCCTCAGGAAGTTAATAAAGTCTCTTCATGTCACCGCGCGCGTACTCGCAAATCATTAGTCTTTCGCCAGCGCGCCTTTTTAAGCGCAAGCATAAACGTTACGCAAAAAAGGGGTGAGTCATACTATTTATTCAACGTATGAATTGCCTTGCCATTTTTCGACAAATTAGCATGAACTACCTCAGGATCGATGACGTGTGCTTTTTTCGCGTTCAGAAAGTGGAATTTGTGTTAGGTGTTGGTGCAGTCGTCAAAGCGAGCGTCCTCAAAGACATCTGCGTCACGATATTGCTGCTTATTGGTGAACAGTCAGTGGTGTGGATGTCTACCCGCATTGGTTAATTTTAATAAAAATGAGGAACCGAAGAACCTTTCCTTTCAAAAGTCCATTTAGTTGAAATTGGAAAGTTGTAAAATATTTAATAAGCTGCGTGTTTTTAAAACTACAAGTTTTGGTTAATTACTGTTAGTACTTGGACAATCATAGATCCCTAAACTTACTTCAGTCTGATAAAATTATTGAGATGTTAGGCTTTCTGTTAGTACGAAATGATCGAGCCTTGATCAAGCTTACACAGGATGCTAATTTAATTAATTGCTTTTATACCTTTTGCTAACAGCCAGCTAATCCTTCAGGATAGTTATATTTAATTCGTGTGTATATGTGTGTAAATATTTTAAAAATATTGCTCTACGAAAAGAATTCAAGTGCTAATTTTTAAGTTCACTTTTAATCAACACAAAATCAGGCAACTCAAAGTTACAACTATGGGTCTCTATTTCCTGTTTCATTGTAAATCAAATTTGAAGTCTACCGTAATTTGATTATATCAATGTATATGCACACTCACTTACCAAGGTGGAAATTGCGATTTTACCTTTAATTTAACTTACAAGTTAAAATACAGAATAACCGTACTGATCAAGCACGTTTACACTAACGCAACTTTGAATAGTTCTTGATTATGCAAACCACAGCAGATGAGTGTCCATTCTCCGACTCATGGAGTACACAAAGCTGTCAAGTCTGGCCAAAGGAATCGCGTTCGCCAATGAGCATTCTGGAAGGTGCAAGAAATCTCTCCGACAATCAGCAGTCAATGTGACACAAAGTAGAAAGGCATGGAGTGTACTTACTGACTATGCACATGGGCAGTTGACCCAACATAAGTTGAACTGAACGATATTCACACCATACGTTCTATGTTCTCGATGCTATAGAGGTAACTTAGCTAATTTAAGAAATAATTCTATGTCAAGGATGTTTACCAGAGGTGATTATCAAGGCTAAAGGCTAAAAACCTAGTTAATGGAAGCTATAAATTGAAGGTCGAATCGAAAAATAAGTAAGGGTAAAAGGAAGAATATTTATATTCCAAATTGAAAGTAAAATTTTTATAGCAATGGAATGTAGTATTTTTCGGTCTCATAAATTAATGCTTAGAAACTTAATTTTTGCGCTAATGGCTACTAAAATCAACTTTTAACGACATATTGCCATTAAATAGAGAATCTAATATTCAAAATTTATATGTAGGAGTCTGTCAATAACAATTTTAATTATGAACGTATGAGAATGGTGATTAACATAATCAAAATCGGAAGATTAACTCTAATTATCAAATAATTACTGTTGAGTGTAAATAGATTTGCTTTAAATGAAATAAATAAATAATTATGGTACATTTATCCGAAACATCAAAACAGTTATTTTTGTTGTGCCTTGTTTAATGATCCAATAAATAAAGAAAATTAATTTGTGATTTATGAGCGTATTCCCTATGGTTTCATTTGAATGGTTGGATACACATGCCTGAACCAAGGAATCTCAAGAGTGCTCGAACATTCTAGAATCAGTGGTCGTCCTGCTGATTGTTCTGGAAAAAGTGTGGGGGTGAGTGAAGAAACCTCCCATTCAATCAGCAATCAATAGTCACTACAAGGTCAGCTCAGTGTGGTCTAAATTAGATACAAGGTGGAAAACAAAATTGGAATGCTTGAATTGTACTCTAATTTAGTATAATAGTGCGTTGTAGGAAGTCGAAGTTATATATAAAAAAGAAATCAATGGAAGTCATTAGCTATTTATTAACAAACAATGCATTTTAACTAATTTTAATTGAAGCCTATTTCTTTCTTCAATTCATTTATTTGAATTTTACGAGCAAGTATCACAGTAAATTTACTAAATCTTTCAAATCAATTTCTTTTCAACGAAATAAACTTACCTAACAATAGAGAAGTGCAGTGCATACAAACCAAGATCACATATTTAAAGGACCTGTTCCTTTGCGCACTTCGTAGCTAAGGTCACATGTGCTGAAATCATTCCATCTAATCGATAGTAAGGGGAGTGGATGTAGTGCTCAGTCTACAACCGCAATTGGTTACAAGCATGCACACCGAAAGTGAGTAGTGACCTGGAAACAACGCAAAAACTTCAATTTCGTCGATTTAGGTCAAGTCAAAACGGAGTCGTCAATTGCTCAATCAAGCTGTGCGGCATTTGGCCAAATTCTTATGTGCTGTTCAGTGGAATGTCAAGAGCTATCAGAAATGATAGCTGATCTCTCCGAGACCTTTCCAACCCTCTATAGAGGGTGGATAGCTCGCAATCAAGTGAAAGAGGCTCTGGAACGCGTTGGATTCACCCTTTCTGGCGGTGATTTCAGACGTCTTGTGGAGGAAGAGTTTCTCAGACCAGGGTATGATCACATCTGTGTAGACACACTGATGGATATCCTCAAAATGCTTCAAGCCAATCAAGAGAAGCAACAACTGATTGAAAAGAAGCGGGAGTTAAGAGAAAGGGCAGATCTCAGGGTAGGTCAATCCTTATACTTTTACGCTATCTGATATTTTACTTTACACTAATTAAACAAGGCAGTAGTGTAATATACAAATTTCAGTTCATTCCCCCATATTAAATATCTAAGCGTATTAAGGCAAGATCGTTACTAGTGTACATTTACTGCTGATGCCTTCGCATACATTGACAGATTTCTTCCTGATAAACAACACTCCTTATCAAGCATCCTATTAATGATGGGTTAGTGTTTTAGCAGAAAGTCTTGTGAATAATGTACACCGCTATGTTAGTTTTCCTACAATATACACAACCTGATGTGCATAGATCCTTACCAAAAGCGATATTGTACATACTTTGAAGAAAAAGGGTGAGTGAAAGTTAGAGTGAGAGAGATGGAAGAATAAGATGAATAAATGCACAATGAAAAGTTCAAAAAAATAATTGAATTTTTAGTAAGTACAATAATGAAAAAAACATCACATGGTAAGAAACAGTTAAAAATAGTGCCCGTAACACAAAATTTCAGTCATAATAAGGTCGTGTGAAATATCTAGAACTTTGACCTTAGCTTATTAGATTAACATTCCATTCACGTGACACATTATCCGGTGACATTTTCAGTTGAATTTTTTTCGCAAGGTTTATGAGACAGATGTGCAAGAAAAATCTACTGCTACAGCAAAACACTCAGTGAGTCCTGCAGAAGAACGAGCTTTCATCGATTGGATCAATCGTCTGCTTGGATCGGATCCGGATCTCAAACACCACTTGCCTATTGATCATACTATTGATGGTCAAATCTACGATCGTTGTCGAGATGGCCTTCTACTCTGCAAGTTAATTAATGCTGCTGTTCCGGATACAATTGATGAACGATGCATTAACAAGACACCAACAAAGTCAAATATTTTCAAGGTAAGTCGTTATTTTAAAACGAATATCCTGAATTGCGAGCACTGATAATATTCATTCCAAAGCAACTGAGAGCTAGAACCATACCTCGGGTCTTATCACCAAAGTTTCTGCTTTGAAAGCAAAGTATTATATAAATTTTTTCTTATTAAATAAATATGCCGGATGAAAACGATAGAATGAGGTAAATATCACTAATTGACTGATGGACATGTCTGTCAAGTTGGGCGTGTTGTAAGAGCGTTGGATTACATGATGAACTCCCTTTAAGACATGCCAAACGGAAGATGATTGGCTTCATTTTGGCCCCAAATGTGTCTAATTTGTCGACCTAATCGGTTAGAATTAGCGGGATATAAAACTCTCTGAAATAGACGGACTTGTTCTACCTGGATCTCTCTATAGCTTTGGCCTTAGATTCCAAAACGTAAAACGGTGGGTTGAAGCCATGAAGTTAATCATACTTATGAGTGAACGCACTACGCGCTTGACATTACAATTTAACTGCTAACCTAGCAAATGCCATTTCCCCTTCCAGATTAACGAGAATCTTACTCTTGCTGTTAATTCGGCGGAATCAATAGGCTGTTGTGTTGTGAACGTCGGTCCTGAAGATATTGAACAATGCGCACGTCACTTGGTTCTTGGTCTTATTTGGCAGATCATTCGCATTGGTCTGCTCGGCATGATATCAATTCAACATCATAGTGAGCTTATCGATTTGCTAGAACCAGGTGAAACTGTCGATAATCTACGTTTTCTCTCACCTGAGGATTTGCTTCTCCGTTGGGTAAACTTTCATCTCCAGACAGCTGGAAACACTCATCGGATGACAAACTTCACCTCTGATGTTATTGACTCAGAGGTTTATGCTACTTTGCTTCAGCAGATTGCACCGGAAGATAAGCAATCTTTTCTTATTCCAGTTACAGGAATCATGGCTGAGAGCAATATGTATTGCCGGGCTGAAATGGTTCTTGAAAATGCTGAATTCCTCAACGCTGCTGCTTTCATTACTCCTGATGATATTGTGAACGCTGCTGAACGTGGAATGGATAGAGACAAATTACATCTGGCATTCGTGGCAAATCTATTCAACCTTTACCCTGGCTTGAAGTCTAAACCCTCTGTGGATGTGCCTGAAACCTTGGAAGAGAAAACTTACCGGAACTGGATGAATTCGATGGGTGTCGCTCCGTTCGTTCGTGATCTTTCAAGTGATCTGAGAAGTGGTCTCATATTTCTACAATTGCTTGATATTCTTGAGCCTGGAACTGTTGCATGGAATAAGATAGCCCGGGTATTCGATCAAAAGAGGCAGATATTCCAGATGCAGGATAACTGTGCCTACGTTGTTGAATACGCCAACTTACTTAATGTCAATGTTGTCAACTTGAGTGGAGAGGATCTGAGAAACGGCGAGAGAAAGCTTACCCTTGGTTTGACTTTCCAATTAATGAGAGCGTACACAATGAAAATGCTCTCTGAATTGCACCAATGCTGCGGGCGGCTTTGTGAGAAGGATATTCTTGATTGGGCGAATGAAAAGTTAGTTTCCGTTGGAGCTCCCATGCTATCTAGTTTTCGCGATCCTACTATTTCAAACGGCGTTCCAGTTATGAACTTAATTAATGCTATCAAACCTCATTCAGTTGATAAAACCATGGTGCTGAAAGACAAATTGGCTAACTGCCGAATTGCAATCAGCACTGCTCGTAAAATTGGGGCTCGTGTTTATGCCCTACCGGAGCATCTGAGGGACGTTAATCCGAAAATGATTATGACGGTCTTTGCTTGTTTGATGGCTCTTGATATTCAACTCAATGGAAATTCTTGAAACACTGGACTTGACTTCACTTGACTAACTTTATCTCTAAACCACAAGGCACTGCTTATGTTATGCCAATGTTTTAATCAAATTAATTTCACCAATCAATTTTCTCATTTGTTTTGTCATAAAACTTTTAGGGTGTAAAAAAATCAAAAACATTAAAATGCACTTACGTGCCTGCCTTTCACATTTCATTTGATGGTAGCTCTGTGCCACTATTACACCCTAATCATCTTCGAATTTCATTTCGTTTAATAATTTTGAGAGACCTTGAACTCTATAGTGAAACCTCTAAAATGACATAGGATTTCCTTGTTCGACGAGCAAGATAAGCAAGACTTATCACTTCGGTTTGAAATGCACAATTCAGAGAATTATATGCATCAATTAGACAACAAACTCTAAATAATAACCCAAGTTAATTAACCTTCAGAAACAACCTTCTCAAAATATTGATGTTGTATTTTTATATTGTGAGTGGATTTTTCGGAGAAAATTCACGCGTTCATAGATTGAGCAGACGCAGTACCACGTCACGTGTATCTGTGTGTCAACATTGCCTTCAAGATGATAAATAAGAGTGGAAAGGAGCGTGATTAAGTTGCCACATGCCGACACAATTGAGTTGCTGACTCTCTCACTAAATTGTGCGCCTCAATTACCCAAGTCGCTCGTCATCGTTACGAGCTCTCTATCAACTCTATCCTTTTGTGACTATAAACCAAAATTGCATTGAATACCTAGCAGAAAATGATGGATTATGTGTGTGTGCATGCATGTGCAGAGATCAGATTTGTCATTTCCAAGGAAGCTATTTTAATGGTTCTTTTATGGTTTAGTACTGATCGATTTCATAATTGAATTTTCATTCTTCTGGTCCAAATTGTGCTAATCAATGCTCTGATAGCCAGACTTCGTTGGTAACATGCCGCTCAAAATGTCAGGCAAACATGCTAATATTAATTTAACTAAGATACTTCAAGTAGTTTGCACATTTTTGGAGCCTACCTCTCTCTCTTGAATAAAAATCATGAAAACTCGCTTGATCGTCTTTCAAATCTTCACCAATTATAATGCAATTAGGCAAATGTTTTCCATTTTCGTTTTCCTTCTGTATACAGTTGCAACTGTCTAATTTGCTTCATTGTCACAAGTGATCTAATACTCATTCGTACCTTAGTAAAACTCCTGAAACACCTAATGTGCGCAAGCCTGAGCCAATCGAAAATTCACATGTTAAAATGAATTAACAGAATTTACTCCTATTTTGTAGGATGCAAAAAGGTTGTTAACTAGATTTTTCAAATAAACGTAAAAACATCAGGTAGTTCTCATGCTCATATTTACTCAAGTTAATTCATTAAAATAGACAGTATTGGGACACAGTTACATTTGAGATCTATGTTTTACACTACCTATTATAACTCCGGGTTGATCTGGGTCTATAAATTTTTTATACTTAAAGGAAGGGAAACAAATAAACACGGAAGAATACTGAGGGCAAGGGAGAGGGGGGGGGGAGTTGAAATGCGCCAAGAAAAGACAATATGTCTAAACATAGTTAATCTTTTTGGAGGTGTCAGTGTGACTCGATGGGTCTGGATTAGATTGGAAAGAGGCTGGGGGTACACCCGCCTGGGGGTCCTCTAAATTTGGAGGTGGGGGAGTAGTTGGGGCAGCTGGAGAAGTTGGAAATGAGGTAGATGGAGAAAAATGAAGATCAACCAATGGAATGTTATCTATGAGCCGGTTTGACCTTGACGGCTTTAAGGGATTGGTGGAAGCTCGTCGGTGTGATGAGAGTGGCTCTGGAGGCTCCGTTAGACCAATTAAATCGGGCAATTCCTCTCGAGCTTTTTCACGAACTTGTGCATATGGGGCAGCTAAAATAGGGTAACAAGCATAATCACCTCGATCAACAATTTTATAATTAACTTTTTTATGCATCGCCTTTAAATTGACGTGGTTTTAGATTCATATTATTTATAAGAAAAGGTATTTAAAGCACATACATAGAGCATTTTACACATCAAGCCTCTTTCATATTTTTCATAAATGGTGGTATTGAAGTTCAGTGTTGATATACGCATTTCCTCGAATAAAGTCAAATTTTCGATAGATTTATCTGTCAAGTTCGATTTCTTTTGCTGAAATCTGTGTCGATGTTAAGCTCAATAGTATTCAAGTTTATTACAAGTTTAAAAACGGTGGTAAATTTCCTTAGATTTGATGGAAAGCAAAAAAAGCTGTCAAATTGCTCAAACGTAGAGCCGAAATTCTTAAGAAGCGAGATTACCGAAATCGACTGTATGTAATCTTCAGAAAGTAAGAAAATGTCCCACTGACTAATATTGCAAACCATGCTTTAATTGAGTATTTGTTTGTTAAGTATTAAACACTGTAAATTAGAAGAAAATTTTACTCATACCTGAACCATAAAGGGAAGTAGCGACGGCGGCCGCAATTAGTGGATTGGCAGGAGCATTCAGCTCTTCAACACCACATGCAGTCTCATCGTCTCCAAAGTCATTGTCGCGCGAAGAGGGTGCTCGATTGGTCAGATTCATGAGTTCATGAGCTGACTTGTCAATTCTTCCTGTACTCGTCATAGCACGCCTCAGTTCACCCTTGATTCTGTCATTACTTCTAATAAATTACCGAATTAAACAATGTTTATACAGCTACAGTAAGGTGAGGGCAATGGCTTACGTTCTATGTCGCCTTTCTAGAGCACCAGGAGGTCCACTTTGCCTTGGTAGACTTTCGACTGAAGCTACAAATTAGTAGAGATAAATCCAGCTTACTTACTATTTATTAGTAATAAATAATTTTTATGCATATTTACATATGTTTTGCTCTCCAGCGAGATGCACGAACTTCACGATTACCTCCATTATTAGATATTCATACAAATATTACAGTGGACAGCTTCTTAAGAAGAAGACCAGAGAAAGTCGTCTTTGATGCATCCTGCTGAACTCAGAACAACCTAGTTCATTCCCATTGAGAAAAATTTTGCCATGATCAAAATGGCAACGCACAGATTAACAGATGGCTTAGCTTGGATAGAGACCAAAAGGACGCTCTTTGTGCCATCCAGACCAAATTTCCCCAAACGTTTATGATTTTCAGATGTGTGTCCTTCCCTACCGCCGAGGATATGATGCTCCCCTCGTATTTTCAATGAGACCATTATGTTGAATTCGGAGATCTACGAGGAATTTCTGATCACTCGTGTAGTTATACCCTTTACAACGAACAACTAAACTGACCTCAATGTGTGGTCCACGAACTTATGTATTGGAAACAGATGAGAAAGACACTAATCGTACACAAAACTCGGTTAATGGACAGGATTAAAGTTTTTGAGATCCTTCACAGTGCAGTTACAAAAGTCAGCTTGCTCCAGATTTTGGACTGATGCCGGGGTAGGGACTGGTGCCAGATTGGGGCTGTACTAAGCACTAATGACGAATATTAAGTAGAAAACTTTTCTACGAAAGTAAAATTTCATTATCTATTGAATTTCTTTTAGGTCTCTTCAATTTCATAGATCCCAATCAACTTTTCCCAAAAAAAACAGTCGTATCTATTTAGAATATCCTGCATTTCAATAGATGGGAGCGTTTGATTAGGTTCCAAAGAAAGTTTTTTGCCTATTCTTCAATTTAATATTTCCCCCAATAAGCAATCTGTGAGAATTTTAAAAGTCTGACCAATGAGCTTTTCAGGACTACAATAGTTGTTGAGTATCTTGAGTATTCAGATGACCTATACTTTATCACTCCAAGTGTAAGCTAATCGGAACGTCTCCTCCAAAGGCCTGACAGATAAACAGTCTAGTGTACGTCGGTGCAGACGTGGGGGTAAATTATCTCACCAAATAATCAGGCGAATGCGCTCTTTTATCTATCTTGGGTCTGAAGTGCTCGACAGTGCTCTAGACTGAGTTGCCACAAAAAGTAGAACGATTACAGGATCGAAGACTTTATCGTTTTAAACTCGAGCAAAGATATGACAAACATTTGTCAAACCAGTGCTACTGTACTACTAGTACTGTGTAAAATAGATCAGAGGTTTATTTTGACCACTAGAAGAGGGTTACAAGAACGAGGTGACGAAATGAATGATTTAGTCTGAATAATACCAAATTTGAAAACTGTTTACTTGCAAAATTCTGGAAGTTTGGTGAGTAAAAGGTTACTCTCATTTAATAAATCTCATTTGTATTGCACTATGTGGCCAATTCACTTTCTCTTGAGGATAAATTGTAAAGCCTTCGGAACTAAATAAATCATACCAGTGAGAATTGGCTTCCGCTGTGATAACGTTCGATGGTGATTTAGGAACCTGCTACCGTCATGGGCTGTGATACGCTTGCCCGAAGTGCGCCTAAGAAGTGACTGTCGGAATTCTACCTGTGAGAACGGGCGTATCTGGCCACCTTCAAGGATTCCTACGAAATGTTATATAAATGGGATTAAATGTATTTGAACTTGTTTGTTTTATATTACCAAAGTGTCTTTCAGAGGAATGCCTAAGAATGCCTGGAAGTTGAGCACCAGTTCCGCTAGCTCCAGGATCACTGAGTGGCGATGTTAGCATAGAGTTATCGTGGGGTTGACGCGGACTCATGAATAGCTGATGCTTCTGACGCATCAAATTGATCATCTAATAATGGAATATATTATTCGATTAGTAAATATAAGCGAAGTCAAATACTAGTCTTTATAGGGAAAAAAAGTTACCTGCTTCTCTTCGCGTAGAGTTCTCAAATCAATGAGAAGCTCCTTTAGAATAGAGACAATGGTCTGTTGGGGTGGAAGATGGAGACCAATTAACTTCTGACCGATTATCTGTTGGAATGCCTGTTCACCCTGAGTTTCGCATGGAAAATTGAGCACCTAAAGTGACGAAAAATTACCATTTGTTGTGATTTTTAACAAATGGTCATTAAATACGACGAGATCTAAAGCTTAAAAGCAAGCATTGGTGAAATATTTGAAAAAATAATCCATATATTTCCAATTAATAGCGTTTGTTTTAAACTACTGCACAAAGATATAATGAAAAAGGTAATTTAAAGGTTTTCAAAAACCTTATTTACAAAATAAATATCACGAAAAAAATTTGAAAATGAAGATAATCTACTTTTTAAGGCCATTTTGGACTAGTACAAAAGAGAGGCAGAGAGTAAGCCAGGCTCTAATTCATTCTATGCTTAGAATCATCAGATTATCGATTTTCTTTGATTTCGAGGATTATATCAATTATATATAATTATAATTGTAATGGTAATAGTAAAAATAAAAAAAAACAAGCCCATCCGTGTAGGGTTGAAATTTGAGGGGAGAGCCAAGTGGGTGTGCGATAGACTTACCTCCACGTGGTGCACCCTGGAAATATGCCTTCACTATCAACATCTTATTTGGAAGCGGAGGGGTGTGTGCGATAGACTTACCTCCACGTGGTGCACCCTGGACAGCGTGCGATAGACTTACCTCCACGTGGTGCACCCTGGGCAACTTTCAACCCTTGCTGGTTTTCTAAACAATTATTCTTAAGAATACGATAGACTTACCTCCACGTGGTGCACCCTGGACAACGTACTTTCAAATGGCAGGCGTTATGATAGGTATCATGGGGTGTGCAATAGACTTACCTCCGTGGTGCACCCTGGGCAATGTATATTTAGACTTACCTCCACGTGGTGCACCCTGGGCACCGTATACTCATACGGCAAAAAAGTCTATTAACCGGCAGTTGTTGCGATAGACTTACCTCCACGCGGTGCACCCTGGGCAACCCACTCATACGGCAAAAAAGTCTATTAACCGGCAGTTGACTTATCACTTCCATACGGCTACCTCCACGTGGTGCACCCTGGGCAACGTGTACTTACAACCTCCATGTGGTGCACCCTGGGCAACGTATACTTATGCGGAAAAAAGTCTATTGACTGGTAGTTGACTTCTCACTTCAAACTACCATCACCCCACTGTATAGTTGACCACTGACTTCAAACTACCATGACCCCACTGTATGCCTTGACTTCTGACTTCAAACTACCATGACCCCACTGTATGTTACAAAGTATACTCATACGGCAAAAAGTCTATAAACCGGCAGTGGACTTCTGACTTCAAACTACCCTCACCCCACTATATGTCACAACTTCTCACTTCAAACTACCATCACCCCACTGTATGTCATTGTGTATGCGCATACGGCAAAAAAGTCTATAAACCGGCAGTTGATCTAACCCTAACACGGCAAAAAGTCTATAAACCGGCAGTTGACCTCTGACTTCAAACTACCATGACCCCACTGTATGTCATATTTGGGCAACAGACCTCATACGGCAAAAAGTCTATAAACCGCTGGGCAACGTATACTCATACGGCAAAAAAGTCTATTAAAAACTACCATCACCTTAAGCGGCAGTTGACTTCTCACTTCAAACTACCATCACCCGCACTGGCAGTTGACTTCTCACTTCAAACTACCATCACCCCTCACTGGCAGTTGCTTTCTGACTTCAAACTACCATCACCCCACCGTAAACCGGCAGTTGACTTCTGACTTCAAACTACTATGGTCCGACTATAGTTGACTTCTCACTTCAAATTACCATCACCTCACTGTATGTCATATTCGACTACTTCCATAGTACTCACCTCACCTTTCATCTACCTTCGTCTTTAAAGCACTCTTCTGTCCCCCCCCTCTCGACTTTTTTTTCCACTTT